TGTAAGCTAGGACTGTTGTCTCTTGACATCGAGGTGGTACCTGAGTAAAGTGAACAGTGGAGCCAGATGGGAAGCCAGTTGGGGGAGAGTTGTTTAGTTTAATGTATTTGTTTAGGAATCTTAGCATAGAGTTGGAAGTTCAGAGTCAGGAGACTCGAGCTCTTTGACCTAACAATGACAGCTTTTGTTTAGCCAGGTTGTTTGACTCTTTGAAGAGTGAGCTCCTACTTTAAAGCGTAGTCAAGAAATCAGTCTGTATTTCAAATGCAAAGAGAAAGGTTCTAGTGTTGAAAACAGCCTTTATGGGAAAGGGGCCTTCCTATGTAGCACTGGCTAGCCTGGAACCCAGTCCACAGAAGGCCTCAGTCCCTGCCTCAGCCTCCCAAGTACAGAGAGTAAAGCATGTGCCACCATGCCTGGTGGTAGAGCCCTTTTTGACTCCACATTCTCCTCCTTTCTTGTTCTAATCTTATTCTGAGACCACAAGGAGAATAAATGTTTTCTATCATTTTAGGAAATACTCAGAAAATTCTAAATATTGAATGGCTGCTTGACTTGACAACTCAGCAGCACCTTACTGTTTTACAGGACTTAACAATTGGGGTTGTATAGTTAGGTTTTGTGAACATTTGCAATACAGGTGGGTACATGAGTTGCTGGTCATGAACAAAATGGTTTTTATCTTGTTTCTTTTAAACTTATAAATATGCCACCTAATACTTTACGTGTAGTTGCTTGCACTGTTTGTTCTCACTGTACTTGGAGCCTGAGACTCATGCAGTTAGCGGTGTAGCCTCCTGCAATGTATTTGATGGTATCCAGGTACTGTGAGATACATGGATCAGCAGGTGGTTTGATGGGGAGGATGTAGAGAAGAGCAAACTGCCCAGGAGCTTGACAAATCCGAAAATGGCCATTCCATGCTCTACTTGTAGAATAGAAAGATTTGTGCTGTAGATGATTTATTTGACTCCTTCAGTTATTTATAGGTTAAGTTGTAAGTGTTACGGTATGAAAGTGATTACAACCAGTAATAACTAGACACACTTAAAGCATAGAGGCTGTTGTTTTGTGTTATGTGTATGTGGTCTTGGGTACGTCATCAGGCCTCTCAGACTTTGCTCCTTCAACTACAGCACTAATAAAAGTAACAGGAATGTGCATGCTGCTTTGCAGTTTTTATCTGAGTGGTCTTACGTAAGTGGTTTCCTTCTGTCTTTACAGTGCTCCAGTCGAGAGAATTAGAGGGAGAAAGTGACTTCCTAAGATCACATAGCCTAAGAATAGAGGAACCGAGTCCCAAAGCCAGCCCTTCTAGTGTCCTAGCCCAAGAAATGTGGTCTGGCCTCCTCTAACATGTTTAAGATTTTGCGATTTTTTTTTTAAGTTCTCCATTTGTTTTAAATAATTTACCTTTGATTATCATACTTGTTTGGTTTTTTGTTTTTTTCTCCTAAACTACTATTTATTCTCTTACTTCTGAATGGGGAAAGTAGCTAAGGGATGGAGTTCTTGTCTAAGGTTCTGGATTCAATCTCCAGTACCAAACTTTAAAACAACTAAATCTTCCCAAAGCATGTATTGAAAGTGGAGCAATATGAGCTTCTCATTAAAAAAATTTGGATTAAGCCGGGCAGTGGTGGTACATGACTATATTCCCAGCACTTGGGAGGCAGAGGCAGAGGCAGAGACAGGTGAATCTTTGCGTTCAAGGCCAGCATGGTCTACAGAGTGAGTTCCAGGACAGTCAAAGCTACACAGAGAAAGACTGTCTTGAAAATCGGGGGTGGGGGAAGGATTAAGTAAACTGTGTTTGCTGGCACATGTTTATAATCCCATGTAGTTAGGGGAGCAGTGGGGATCCATAGGAAAATCACCTTTGAGACCAGCCTGGGCAGTGATACTGAGACTCTGACGTCCCTTCCCACTAAAATAACATTCTGGGTTGATTGGAGCTTTGTGATTTTTGATAACTTTTTTAGATATTGAGCCATCAAGTCTGAAGATCACCAAAGAAATTTGTTTGGCGTTTTAAAAACTTTAGTTACTTGGTGTGGCTGTTTAACTTGCATGTTTGGCTGTACTCTACATGCATACATGACGGCTGTACTCTACATGCATACATGACGGCTGTACTCTACATGCATGCATGCACGGCTGTACTCTACATGCATACATGCACAGCTGTACTCTACATGCATACATGCACAGCTGTACTCTACATGCATACATGCACCGGAGACCCGAAGAGGGCATTGAATCTCCTGGAACTGGAGTTGCGGGTGGTTGTGAATCAGCGTGTGGATGCTAGGACTTGAACCCAAACCCCAATCCACTGCAAGAACAAAAGTGCTCTTAACTACTGAGCCATCACTCCAGCCCTGTTTGACCTGTTTTATTTTTAAGATAAAGGCATGGTTTTTCTTACAAATAATGTTCCTAGTAAAGATTTATTTAATTATTTATCTATTCTTTTTTTTTTTTTTTTGAGACAGTTTCTTTGTGGTTTTGGAGCCTATCCTGGAACTTACTCTGTAGACCAGACTGACCTTGAACTCACAGAGATCCACTTGTCTCTGCCTCCCAAGTGCTGAAAATAAAGGCATGCACCACCACCAGCAAAAGTTTATTGTAGGGGCTGGAGAGATGGCTCAGAGGTTAAGAGCATTGCCTGCTCTTCCAAAGGTCCTGAGTTCAATTCCCAGCAACCACATGGTGGCTCACAACCATCTGTAATGAGGTCTGGTGCCCTCTTCTGGCCTTCAGGCATACACACAGACAGAACATTGTATACATAATAAATAAATAAATATTTTAAAAAAAAGTTTATTGTAAACTGAGAGAATTTTTAAAAAAATGCTTTTAACCTAATGATAAAAGAAACAATTTTTTTAAAAAGGACCCTAATATGTGTTCCTAAGAAGGGATTTCATTTATTTATTTACTTATTTATTTTATGTGTACAGATTTTTGCCTGCACTTGTGTACATTTGTGTACTATGCAACTGCCCGATGCTTTCAGAGGCCAGAAGAGGCATCATCAGATCCTCTAGATCTGAGTCACATGTGGGTGTTAGCAGTCAAACTCTTAAACAGCTGGGGTGGCTCTCGCTTTTACTCTTAGTCTTGGAGCGATAGTTAGATAGATAGACAGATAGACAGACAGACAGACAGATAGATGATAGACAGATGATAGATAGATAGATGATAGATAATAGATAGATAGATAGATAGATAGATAGATAGATAGATAGATGATAGATGATTGATAGATAGATAGATAGATAGATAGATAGATGATAGATAGATAATAGATAGTTGGATAGATGATAGATAGATAGATAATAGATAATAGATAGATAATAGATAGTTGGATAGATAGATAGATAATAGATAGATAGATGCTGTCAAGCCTTCGAGTTCAAGAGTTGAACTGCTAATTTGTCTAAAAGGCTTCATTCACTTGTTGCTATTTTCCTGTGTAGTGATAGGAGCGGAGGGGCTGCGTCCCCAGCACCCCGGCTGCCTGGCTAGCTTATACCCCGAAATAATTACACGGACACTGTATTCTTTTAAATACTACTTGGCCCATTATATCTAGCCTCTTCTCGGCTAACTCTCGCACCTGGACTAGCCCATTTCCAATCATGTGTTGTAGCACCCCAAGGTGTGCTTACCGGGAAGATTCTAGCCTACGTCCATCCTGGGTCGGACCTGAATCGCGTCTGTCTGCCCAGGAGAGGAGAGGATGGCGTCTCTGAGCTCACTTCCTCTTCCTCCCAGCATTCTGTTCTGTTTACTCCACCCACCTATGTTCTAAGCTATGAGCCCAAGCAGTTTGTTTATTACTTAACCAATGAAATCAACAGATTGATATATGACACTCCCACATCATTCCTGGGTGGTAAGTGGTTAAGAACCTTATTAACACCTGGCTCCAGTTTTAAACTGAGCAAAGAGCTCTTCAGTGGGAGGTCCCAGTGTCGTCCATGGGCACTGTCCACAGGAGGAAAGTCTGGGGACTGTCACTGCTGGGGCATGGTTCCGGATCTTCAGACTCTAGCCAGTCTGCACTTCATTCCATAGTGGTGGTGTTTGTGTGGATTCTGTTTCTGGAATCTGAAATTCTCCCTTTCCGTCTCTCTCGTCTTTCTAGAAAGAAGTTCTCTCAATCAGTAAATTTGCACTCATCAGTTTGTTTTCAGTAGACTTTCTTGGAAACTTGTCCAAAGTAGGCTAAGCGAGTCTTAGTAATTTTTAAGGACAGGTTAAAAGTTTGAGGTAAGGAGAGTTTTTGTTCTTTTTCTTTCCCAAGCAGAATAGGAAATAAGATGTTTCTGTCACTGATGAAGGGAGTCTCTGTGTGTGGTCAGTTTATGGCCCCTGTCGCCAGCACTGCTGCCCACCATTAAGTCTCTTGTCCCAGGGCATTCGAAGGTGATGCCATAAAGTGCATGTGGAGGCCCTGATCTCAGATATGTGTACAGAAACCGCAGATTCACAAGTGTGCAGAAATCTAAATAACAGCTCCTGAGTTAAGGAACTGGCAGTTATGGAACTCACAATCTCTATATTTAGTAGGCAAGACATCATTATATGGCTTATGTTATTCCTTATATGTTTGTAAATTTAAGTACTTGTATTTGTGGCTGTGTATGTTTAGCAGTATCCTGATTTGCTTATTTGTATTAAAGTTATCCTTTAATAGTTTGGGGTTGTGTCTGTAGTTTGAAACTTAAACTATCCCTTATCTGCTGTTCACCAAAGGTGAACTTGCATCATGCATTGTTCAGTCATTGCACAACTATTATGTGTAATGGAACTATATGACTGGGTCCGTGATTTGAATCTTAGTTATTTTACAGAAACTATTTGGATAATGATGATTCATATGTAGAGGCTAATTTTCCAATGCATTTTTTTCATCTGGGCATTTCTTCGGGATTTATTCACATTTATGCTTTTGCTTCTGATTTTAAAATGACTTTTCTTTGTTGTAGGATGAGCAGTTCTTAGGTTTTGGCTCAGATGAAGAAGTCAGAGTTCGAAGCCCCACAAGGTCTCCTTCAGGTATGGCCAATGAAGCATGTGCTATAGTCTACATTCTCTTTGTAGAATGTGGTTTCTTCTGCCTTTTTGCAAGTAACAGATGATCTGCCCTCACGGGCTGGGAAGTGACTCAGGAGCTAGACTGCATGGGATGGGTTCTGCTGTCTGTGCTTGCTAATCTTTCACCGTGTGTTTCTGGGTCATACTTGGGCATGGGAGGTAGGCTTCCACAGACTAGTTTTGGGAAATCATTTATCATTTTCTATTCTATGATAGTATTTATGCTTGTGTATATGGGGGGGGCAGGGGTTGGCCCTTATTTTTTTTTGTAGAGATGAAATTTAGTGTACTGTTGTAAAAGGTCACAAAACAACATGGCGATATATAACATCATTTTACCTAACCCTTAAAAGGTTGTACTAAAATAAAGAAACTGGAAATTATGTGGGTGTTTCCATTTATTAGCATTGTTTATCGATGTTTTCAACAAAGTTCTAGATCTCTAAGCAGTTTTCTCAGATGTAAGTGGACTTCAACTTTACCAGCTTGGATAGTTCAGTTCTCTGGAGGAGAGGCTGAGAATCTTTCAGTGGGAAACACGTTCCTCGTCTTGTCACCTTCCAACTTGTATGGTTTTGTTTATGTGGATAAACAGACTAGTTAAATATTCTGTTGTTAGATGTTTTTACTCTGTTTATGATGGTTGCTGCCATTTGGGTATCACTTAAGAGTCATTATATGTTACATAGTCATTTAATTAGATACCCAAGCTGATCACTTTTGTTTCCCCAAAGATGATATTTCTATCTTGTGACTGGCACCAGTGGCTTAGACAGTGGCAGTGGTTTCTTTAAGAGGTGATGAAATCTTAAATTTTTATATAGGAAAGGAACGTTAGGGATCTTCTGCTCTGACTCTTCATTAACAGTTGATAAAAATGAGGACACAAAATGACATAAGCAGTTAGATGGAGCTGGTGTGTGGCCTTGAGTGTAAGAAGTTAGCAGCTAAGTTAGGGCCCTTCTCTTCTCCACTTGTCTATAAAGCTTCTTTTAAAAAGTAATACGGAAGAGGTTTTCAGAGTTGCTGGAGTCCTCTGGGCAGCCCTGTCAATGGCCCACAGTGCTTGAGGGCTCAAGTCCACTCTTAACCTCACAGCTCTTTCACAGTGGTTTCCTCGTGTGGTTTTTCTTGGCTTTCAGTTTACAATGAAAGTTGTTTTAAAGCATCTGGATATGTTTTACTTAAGTGAATTGTTATCCTCTTACAGTCCATTACTTTTGTTATCATTAGTATATTGATAATTGATTTGCAAACTCTTATTCTGTTAAGGGGAGTCTCCTAAGTTACGTGGTGAAAAATGCATTTGTGTTTGTGTTTATGTTACAAAGTTCAACCATAAGACTTTGTTGATTTCTGTTGTGTTGGAAAGCAGCTCCATAGCACAGATATTCATAGAGACTGCAGTTTCCTTTGGTGCTTGGTGAGGGAGGTTTTGGTCTCAGAAGAGTGTTGTACTATATAGCCCTGAGAATAAGAGAATACCATAGGCTTTTTTGAGGCAGGGTCTTAGCTTTGTCTTTGTAACCCAGGTTGAGATGAAGCTCACTGTGTAGCCCCAGCTAATCTTGAACATGAGGTGATCATCTTTTCTTAGTTTCCCAAGTGCTGGCATTACAAGTGTGAGCCATCATGCCTGGCTGCCATAGTCAGTTCTTACTGCATTTTAAATACAAATTTTGTTAGGTGTTAGAGACAGTTTTGCTCCTTGACTGTCTTGATAGTAGCAAGTTGAACATCTTTATAGCTTGGGAAATTCCTCTTTGCAGCAAGAGCTCAATGTGTGGCCCTGCCTGGAACCCCACAGCCAGATGAGGTTGACCTTTAACTTATGGGTAGTTTCCTGCCTGCCTCCCTAGTGTAGAGGTTACAGGTGTACGCCATCCCATCTACCCATTTCCTCTTATTTAGAATAGCAAAGATCAGTCTTAATAAATTGTTGATTTAACCTTGAATCGGTTAAGGTTAAATCTTTGTATAACTTGTGGCTAACTAGTTAAAGAAACCCTAGAAAAGAGCAAGCTCATAACACAGGCCACCGATGAGCTCTCAGGAGCATTTCCTTCAGAGAAAAACATCTTAGTCTGTTTTGCTAGAACAGATTAAAAAAATACAGGATGCCAAGCTCCTCAGAAAGGTGGCTTTGCCCATGAAAGTTGATAATGTTACTTAAATTTATTCAAGGCCATAATTATACATTGAAAAGTTGGAATTTTTATTGTTGTCATCATCTTGGTTGGGTTGAAATTGGTTTTTGTTTTGATATATCTTTTTTAAGACAGGGTTTCTGTGTAGTCCAAGACTGATCTGGAATCACATATACCCCAGGCTGATGTCTGATTTGTCAGCCTCCTGAGTGCTGCTGCTCTTAACTTTGGGAAGAAACACGCTCTTAAATGATACTTTTGGTGAGCTGGATAATATAGGACAGATTTTTTTAAAACAGTTTTTCTTCAATTTTAGAAAAGGAAAAAAACCCTGCTTGTGTGAGGAATGGCAATTTGTTTTCTAGGTCACTTGTTCAATTAAAAACCTTACTTTGATTTTTGTACCCAAAAAAATTGAATACTTTTTTCAGGTGTAATGTTACTGACTTGATTTCTTTGAGGTAAATATTCAATGAAAAATTAAGCATAATTAAGATATAGTATTGACTTGGTAGTCCCAATGAATTCAGTACAAAATGGCCTGTGCTAAATGATATTCAGCCTAGTTAAGACCTGAACTACACAGCTAAATATGTGCTCTTCATTGTTTAATTTCTATACACAGTTAAAACTAGTCCTCGAAAACCTCGCGGGAGACCTAGAAGTGGCTCTGACCGAAATGCAACTAGCCTCCCAGACCCACCTGTGTTCTCCCCTCTAAGTAAATCAGAGACCAAGTCTGCAGACAAAGTCAAGAAGAAAGATTCTAAGAGTATAGAGAAGAAGAGAGGAAGACCTCCTACCTTCCCCGGGGTGAAAATCAAAATCACACATGGAAAGGACATTTCAGAGTTAACAAAAGGAAGCAAAGAAGATAGTCTGAAAAAAATTAAACGGACCCCTTCTGCTATGTTCCAGCAAGCCACAAAGATTAAAAAATTAAGAGCAGGTAAACTCTCTCCTCTCAAGTCTAAGTTTAAGACAGGGAAGCTCCAGATAGGAAGGAAGGGGGTACAGATTGTAAGACGGCGAGGAAGGCCTCCATCCACAGAACGGATAAAGACCCCTCCAGGTCTCCTCATCAACTCTGAACTGGAAAAGCCCCAGAAGGTCCGGAAAGACAAGGAAGGAACACCCCCACTCACAAAAGAAGACAAGGCAGCAGTCAGACAGAGCCCTCGAAGGATTAAACCAGTCAGGATTATTCCTTCCTCTAAAAGGACTGATGCGACAATCGCTAAGCAGCTCCTGCAGCGGGCAAAGAAGGGGGCCCAGAAGAAAATCGAGAAAGAAGCAGCACAGCTGCAAGGGAGGAAGGTGAAGACACAGGTCAAAAATATCCGGCAGTTCATCATGCCTGTGGTCAGTGCCATCTCCTCGAGAATCATCAAAACTCCCCGACGGTTCATTGAGGATGAGGATTATGACCCTCCCATTAAAATTGCGCGACTCGAATCCACACCAAACAGTCGGTTCAGCGCCACCTCCTGTGGATCTTCTGAGAAGTCTAGTGCAGCTTCCCAGCACTCCTCTCAGATGTCTTCGGACTCCTCCCGATCTAGCAGTCCCAGCATCGATACCACCTCGGATTCTCAGGCCTCTGAGGAGATCCAGGCACTTCCTGAAGAGCGGAGCAACACCCCCGAAGTTCATACTCCACTGCCCATTTCCCAGTCCCCAGAAAATGAGAGCAATGACAGGAGGAGCAGACGGTATTCAATGTCAGAGAGAGGCTTTGGATCAAGAACAACTAAAAAATTACCAACTCTGCAAAGTGCCCCACAGCAGCAGACCTCCCCCTCTCCGCCTCCACCTCTCCTTACCCCTCCCCCTCCACTCCAGCCACCCTCCAGTATATCTGACCACACACCTTGGCTTATGCCTCCAACTATCCCCTTAGCATCGCCGTTTTTGCCTCCTGCTGCTCCCATGCAAGGGAAGCGGAAATCTATTTTGCGAGAGCCAACATTTAGGTGGACTTCTTTAAAACATTCAAGGTCAGAGCCACAGTACTTTTCCTCAGCCAAGTATGCCAAAGAAGGTCTGATTCGCAAACCAATATTTGATAATTTCCGACCCCCTCCACTAACTCCCGAGGATGTTGGCTTCGCCTCTGGTTTTTCTGCATCTGGTACTACCGCTTCAGCCCGATTGTTTTCACCACTCCATTCTGGAACAAGGTTTGATATCCACAAAAGGAGCCCAATCCTGAGAGCTCCAAGATTTACTCCAAGTGAGGCACACTCTAGAATATACGAGTCTGTGACCTTGCCTAGTAATCGAACTTCTGTTGGAGCATCCTCTTCGGGATTATCTAATAGGAAAAGGAAAAGGAAAGTGTTTAGTCCGATTCGGTCTGAACCAAGGTCACCCTCTCACTCCATGAGGACAAGAAGCGGAAGGCTTAGTACTTCTGAGCTGCCACCTCTCACTCCCCCGTCTTCTGTCTCCTCCTCACTAAGCATTCCTGTTAGTCCTCTTGCCGCTAGTGCCTTAAACCCAACTTTTACTTTTCCTTCTCATTCCCTCACTCAGTCTGGGGAATCTACAGAGAAAAGTCAGAGACCAAGGAAGCAGAGCAGTGCTTCAGCAGAGCCGTTTTCATCGGACACTCCTACTCTCTTCCCGTGGTTCACCCCAGGCACTCAGCCTGAGAAGGGGAGAAACAGAGACAAGGCCGCCGAGGAGCTGTCCAAAGACCGCGGTGCTGACAAGAGCATGGAGAAGGATAAGAGTAGAGAGCGAGACCGGGAGAGAGAGAAGGAGAATAAGCGGGAGTCAAGGAAAGAGAAAAGGAAAAAGGGCTCAGAAATTCAGAGTAGCTCTGCTTTGTATCCTGTGGGTCGGGTTTCCAAAGAGAAGGTTGCTGGAGAAGATGTTGGCACTTCATCTTCTGCCAAAAAAGCAGCGGGGCGGAAGAAGTCTTCATCACTTGATTCTGGGACCGATATTGCTTCTGTGACTCTTGGGGATACAACAGCTGTCAAAACCAAAATACTTATAAAGAAAGGGAGAGGAAATCTGGAAAAAAACAACTTGGACCTCGGCCCAACTGCCCCATCCCTGGAGAAGGAGAAAACCCTCTGCCTTTCCACTCCTTCATCTAGCACTGTTAAACATTCCACTTCCTCCATAGGCTCCATGTTGGCTCAGGCAGACAAGCTTCCAATGACTGACAAGAGGGTTGCCAGCCTCCTAAAAAAGGCCAAAGCCCAGCTCTGCAAGATTGAGAAGAGTAAGAGTCTCAAGCAAACTGACCAGCCCAAAGCACAGGTACTTCTCGCTTTGCTGTTAAAACCAAGTTTACTGAGCCCTTCTTGGAGCAAGTCTTAGGCTAAATGTTTGAGCTGCTAGGAGATAAGGTGGTGGTGTGTGCAGTGGTTTTTCAAGGACCAGTAGCATTTTTCGAGAAGTAAAAGATTGTGTTCTAATGTAACATAGAGGGGACAGTAGGTACAGATGGCTGCTAGTCTTAGGGTGCAGCAGTAGTTGGTTTCTGTATATTGGCTTACCAGCTAGGACTAGCTAGCTAGAGCTGTATACGTTGATAGCAGATCATAAGTTGATTAGATATACTTTGGCTTCATTCAATTGCATTTACAACATGCACAGTAGTGTTTGTTGCTTATCTCATATTCAGGGTCAAGAAAGTGATTCATCAGAAACCTCTGTGCGAGGACCCCGGATTAAACATGTCTGCAGAAGAGCTGCTGTTGCCCTCGGCCGAAAACGAGCTGTGTTTCCTGATGACATGCCCACCTTGAGTGCCTTACCATGGGAAGAACGGGAAAAAATTTTGTCTTCCATGGGAAATGATGGTAAGTCAAGGAAATCAACCTTGGAATTGTGAGCAGACCTATTTATTTGCTTTCAATCCTAGATGCCAATAAACTCTTCTAGTTCATTAGACTGGATTTAAAAAACAGAAAAACAAAGCCAGATAGCTGGAGGGAATTCAGTATTTGAAGATTTTGTTAGAGAGAATGCCTCAAAACGAAAATGTGAGGTGCTCCAGAAGACTGGTGTTGCAAATATAACTCCTGAAAGGGGAGAAGTCAAGTAAGAAGACCCTGCCTAGACTGCCATGCAGTAGAAGAAAGGTTTGGCAAGGCTAGTCAGAGGCATCTCATATCCAAAAACGTTAGTGCTTCAGCTACACTGAGAACCTGCCAGGGAGCAGGTCCTTTGTACCAATGGTTTTCAGAACGTAGCAGCTGGATCCCTTGGTCATTGATACTTCCTAGAATTAGAGGTCTCTGAGGCCGTTCGCCAACACATCCAGAGCTGAGGCCACCAAAGTGGGGACCATACCACAGCAAAAGACTGTATTAATTAGGGTTTCAACTGCTGCTGTAATAAATACCAGGGTCCAAAGCAACTGGGGAGGAAAGGGTTTGTTTCCTCTTATAACACCCAGGTCACACTCCATGCTGAGGGAAGGCAGGAGCTAAAGTGGAGGCTGTGGAGGAGTGCTGTTTCCTGGCTTGCCCTCATGACTTGTTAGCTTGTTTTCTTAGACAGCTCGGGACTGTGCCCAGGGGTGGCATCACCCATAATGGCCTGGGCCCCCGCTCTTCAGCTGCTCATCAAGAAAATGCCCCAGACTTGACTATAGGCAGTCTGGTGGAGGAGGCATAATCTCAATTGCAATTCCTCTTCCTGAGAATTCTAGCTTGTGTCAAGTTGACAAAAACAAAATAACCCCCAGGACAGGCAAATTGTCATGATTGTTGTGCAGTTCCAAAATGCTGGGTGCTTTCTCTTAACAGAGTTAGTCATCTAGAGAGAATTCTGATACACATGGAGCTTATTTTTGATTTTCAGTTAGATTGTTTTATTTTTGTTTTTTTTTAAATATTTATTTATTTATTATATATACAATATTCTGTCTGTGTAAATGCCTGCAGGCCAGAAGAGGGCACCAGATATCATTACAGATGGTTGTGAGCCACCATGTGGTTGCTGGGAGTTGAACTCAGGACCTTTGGAAGAACAGGCAGTGCTCTTAACCTCTGAGCCATCTCTCCAGCCCAGTTAGATTGTTTTGTTTTCAGTATTTGGATTTTTGCTTTCACCAAGCTATAAGGAGTAGGCATTTGGAAACATTTAGCTAATTATTTTAAGTGAGTTCTTTGTATGGGTATATTATAAATTTTTCCATTTTGATTCAAATAAGATTTAGTGGATCCAGTGATACAAAGGGACTTTGGGAGTTTTCAAGAAGGAATTAGACATTCCCTAGAAACTAAAGACACATTTCTTTAACAGATAAGTCATCAATTGCTGGCTCAGAAGATGCAGAACCTCTTGCTCCACCCATCAAACCTATTAAACCTGTCACCAGAAACAAGGCTCCCCAGGAGCCTCCAGTAAAGAAAGGGCGGCGATCGAGGCGATGTGGGCAGTGCCCTGGCTGCCAGGTACCTGAGGACTGTGGTGTTTGCACTAACTGCTTGGACAAGCCCAAATTCGGTGGCCGCAATATAAAGAAGCAATGCTGCAAGTGAGTGAGTCTTACTGGGAGGCAGTGACCTCATGGTCACAGAGATTTCTCTTTACCCCTGCTTTGTCACAAAGATGCTTCAGAAAACCTGGTGGTCGCACCAATCTGCTCAGGTTTCCAGATTACTTTTGTGATGTGATGAGGTTTAAACTAAGTATTTGTGGTAGTATCATCTAGTAGAGCATTCTCAACAGTGAAAATGGTCTTTTTGTGCTCAGTTTAGTATGGCAGTCAGTCGCTACATGGGGCCGTTGAGTACTTGGCATGTGGTTAGTGTGACTAAAGAGCTACATTTTAAAAGCTGGTGGTGGTGGTGGCGCATACCTTTAACCCCAGCTCTTGGAGACAGGTGGATCTCTGTGAGTTCAAGACCAGACTGGTCTACAATGCAAGTTCTAGGATAGTCAGGACTGTTACAGAGAGAAAACAAAAGAAAAAATTAATTTTAATTATTTTATTTTAAATATCTGCATGTAACTAGTGTCTACTGTATCAGCCAGGGTAGCTTTGAACAGTTTCTAAAACTTGACAAATCAGGGACCAGAGCGATGGGTCAGCAGTTAAGAGCATGGGCTGCTCTTTCAGAGGACATGGGTTCAGTTCCCAGCACCCATATGACAGCTTACAACATTCTATAACACTAGTTCCAGGAGATCTGAAACCCTCTTTTGGTCTCTATAGGAACCAGACATGTACTTGCTACACATACATACATATATACATATACATATATACATATATATATGCAAAACACCCATACATATAAAATAATAAAATAAAAAATTTAAATATGAAACAGAATAAAATAATACTTTAAAAACGTGACAAATTTAGGCATAGGATATTTTTGACTGACTGAAATTACTATTAATTATTATCACTGGGGTGTGTGTACATCCTTCCCTGCACATACAGCTGCGGAGGAGGTGTGTCTGTGGTTGGGTCCTACTCTAGCACTCTTCTGCTTTATTTTCTTGGTTTCGTCCTGAACTTAGCCTGTGGCTAAGAAGCTCCAGAGCCACCCTGACACCGGGACTACAACCTTATAGGTCCACATTCATTCTATTTTATTTTCTGAGACAGGGTTTCTGTGTGTAACAGCTCCGACTGTCCTGATGTAGACCAGACTGGCTTTGAACTCACAGAGATCTGCCTGCCTCTGCCTCCCGAGTGCTGGGAGTAAAGGCGTGCGCTACCGCGCCTGGCTTCACATTTAGACTTTTAACATAAATGCTAAGGGTTTGAACTCAGGTCCTCATGTTTGCATAGCCTTTTCTTTTTTTCTCCTCCCACGGATCTGTTTCCCAGCTCTTGTAGTCACTTTTAGCTTTATAGCATTCAGGAAACTGGAGACATTTTTTGCCTAAATCTCTGAACTCTTTTTTTTTTTTTTTTTTAATTTAATTTTGACTTTTGAGACTTGAGGTCTCCATATGCATTCCAGGCCTGCTTCAAACTTGTTATCTTTCTGCCTCTGCGTCCCAGTACCACAATTGTAGATCTGTAACACTGCATTTGACTTTCTTACTCTTTCAAAATGTTTTCATTCATATGGGAGTTTTTGTGGGTAGGGCGGTCAGTCTGGGGCTTGAACATTGCCTGCAGATGTGCCAGTCCAGTGCTCGCATGGAGCTATACTCTCAGTCCAACACACAGAGGTTTTTTTTGATATAGACTTTTAAAGTTTTCTAATTTTCCAGTCAGTTGTGGGCATACTTTCTGCCATCTGGAATGATTTTTTTTTTAATTTATTAGGAGACTTGTATAAACAGAAATTCTGGCAAGTGGGCCTCCTACACAGTGCCTGGCACAAGAGATATTTACCAAATGAATGACATTAAAGCTATTAACATAAAATATAGTTGACATTTTTTTGTTGTTTGCTCGGGGAATATAGTTTCTAGGAGACAAGAAGTAATTCTAAACTGGCTGTGGAGGCTCATGCCTGGAATCCCAGCACTTGGGAGGTAGAGGCAGGAAGGTTGCAATGAGTTCAAGATTAGTTTGGATCATACAGTGAGAATATCTCAAAAAAATTTTAATGTTTTGGTTTCTGAACTTTAGCAAGAATCTTGTCTTGAGATACTTTAGAGGCAAGAAGTAATGTAATTTACTTATGTAAAAAGGTGCACAGACTCCATTTTCAGGTGGCTAGATTTGATGTGAGCAAGGCATGTAGCTCATGGCAGACTGCTTGCCTTACACATATGAGACCTGATAGTCACCCCCCAGTTCCAAAAATAGAACCTTTTTTTGGGGCCAGGAGGATATTGAGCTGAGGATGAATTCAGTGCAGGTGGAGTATTCAAGTTAGGTTTAAATTTCATTAGATCTAAACTAGGGTAAAATATATCAAAGCCGTGAGATGCAGCTGTAGTTTTGTAGTAGCAAAGGACTTGGCGATTTGTAGTTGCTGCTTGTGAACATGAACAGTGAGTCCTACGAGAGAGCAGTAATCACGTGACTAAGAAATACTGATCGTCATGGCAGGTGCATACTGATGCCAGCACCTGAGGAGCGCGGCAGGGGGACCAAGACTTCAGGATCATCCTCTGCTATACAGTGTACCGTGGGCTATACTGACCCTGTCTCAGAACAAAACAGGAAGGACAGAAGGCAGGCAGGAGGGAATCAGTGATAGCCTGTGTGGGGTACAAGTCCATATTGAATTACAAGAAATGTTAGTCCCATTTCAAAGATAATATGACATTTGCTCCTTTCAAATCCTAAAGGTAGGTAAGCCTGCTGACCCAAAGATTTTAAAGGTTCTGATTAACCTGAGGAATAAATAATCCATGTTCTGCCAAGTGACCCTGAATAGCGACTCACAGTTTTCTGCAGATAAGTGAGCATGTATTTCATTTTTTCTCTTTTAAATGCAATATGTTTTATACAGTATCCTTTGTTATCCTAGGATGAGAAAATGTCAGAACCTCCAGTGGATGCCGTCCAAAGCCTACCTACAGAAGCAAGCTAAAGGTAGTGGTGAGAAAGACCTCCCGCATCTGTACTTTAATGTCATACAGCTGTGCACATTCAGTGTAAAGAGAATACTAGGTGTTTGTTTTTGTTTTTCTTTTAAAGTACTGCTCTCTCCCGGGGAGTTGGTGGTTGTTGAAGCTGGATGATAGGTACATGGGGGTTCATTTGACTCTTCTTTTTATATGGGGGTATGCTTGAAATTTTCCATAATTAAGAAACTTGTTTAAAATTCATGTAAAAAAATATACCTCTGCTCATTTGCTAGAGCAATAAAATCTCTGCATCACCTGCTCAGCATAGCCTCAACTTTGTGGAGACTTTGGGCGCCAGCTTTGGCTGCAGGAGACTGAGAACGAGACTATTAGAGATCTTTCTGTGTTTCTCTTTTCCCTGAAACTTTTCTCACTTATGGATAGATGATCTTGTTTGTTCTCCTAGCTGTGAAGAAGAAAGAGAAGAAGTCTAAGACCACTGAAAAGAAAGAAAACAAAGAAAGCACTGTTGTAAAGAGCTCCGTGGACTCTGGTCAGAAGACTACCCTACCAGCACGGGAGGAGCCTGCCCCAAAGAAGAGCAGCAGCGAGCCTCCGCCCCGCAAGCCCGTGGAAGAAAAGAGTGAGGAAGGGAGTGCCCCTGCGTCTGCGCCTGCACCTGCACCTGAACCCAAACAGGTCACCACTCCAGCTTCCCGGAAATCCAACAAGCAGGTCTCCCAGCCAGCGCCAGTCATCCCCCCTCAGCCTCCCAGCACAGCAGCACCGCAGAGAAAAGAAGTTCCCAAGACCACTCCAAGTGAGCCCAAGAAAAAACAGCCTTCACCACCAGAGCCAGGTGAGTGCTGAAGGCAGGAAGAGTGGTGGAGTAGCAGGCCAGCCAAGAAGCCCAGTGCCTCACATAGGCTGTCGGGGCCTGAATGCTTGCATCCTTGTCGTTGTTTGCACCTGTTTGTTAAAGGAAGTGGATTCTTTAGTGTTATGTTACAGTAAAACCTGATGCAAAGCGGAAAGTTAGATTAGCCGTGTTGCCATGTTTTCCTCTTTGAGGTCTAGAGAGTATTTGCCTGCCCCTCTCTCCACAGGCCATTTGGTCTGAAAGCAGTCATTGCTGGCATCAGACCAGAATCTCTTTTGAATCCTTTTAGGTCCAGAGCAAAGCAAGCAGAAAAAAGTGGCCCCTCGCCCAAGTATCCCTGTAAAACAAAAACCAAAAGACAAGGTAAGAAGAGATCTGACTCTGCAATTCCTTGGGGATATATTTGTTCCGTTCTGTAGGGAACAGCCTTGACCGTGACATTCTCCGGACTGAATGAAACGGTCTTCTGCTTCTTTGTAGATGTCTCTGGCATCTCACAGAATTAAGGTGTAGGCTTTAGCCCTTTTGGTTTGGTTGGTGTTTTGTTTCTCTGGTCTCTTTTGCCTTCCTCTTGGTGGCCTTGCGTGTTGTAGTCTGGGCAGCAGTTTATTCTAACAGCCTCTGAGTACTTAAAGAACATTTGTTTATAAAAGTAATCCCTACCTCTGCCCACTGTTTCTTTTATTGTGGATGGAGAGAATTTCAGAATTTTCTGAAGATTATCCTTTCTTTGTCTTTTGATAGGGACTCACTCTGTAACTCTTAAACTGGCCTTGAACTCTCAGCAATCTCCTGTTTCAGCATCTAAAATGAGCCACCACACCTAGCTCCCTCTCTTCTTCTATAGAATGCTTATTCTGAGACATGTTTTCCATAGCTAAGAATTGGCATTTGTGTTCTCATCTGTTGCAAATGTGAGGATAGTGACTTTTTTCCTACATCTATTTTATGTCTTAGGAGAAGCCACCTCCAGTAAATAAGCAAGAGAATGCAGGCACTTTGAGCATCCTCAACCCTCTTGCGAATGGCATCAGTTCTAAGCAGAAAATCCCAGCAGATGGAGTTCACAGGATCAGAGTGGACTTTAAGGTAAAAGTGTTTAGTGATCATGCCTTTTCAGCAGTATGACCTAAAGGGTGTGTGTTGAAAGAGAAACAGCACCCACTAGAGGTATGAATAAGAACTATAGTTAACAGATGGTTTCAAGTACGGGAGCCTAGTTGGTTTTCTGAGACAAGAGTTTCTCTGTGTAGCTCTGGCTGTCCTGGACTCACTCCTGTAGACCAGGCTGGCCTCAGACTCACAGTGATCTGCCCGACTTTGCCTCCCAAGCTCTGGGATTAAAGATGTACGCCACCACTGTCTGGCCAAGTTAACAGTTTTTTCAAACAGCCATTCTTTTTGGACTAACGGAAGTGAAATAAATACTCTTGGCATTCTGGTGTCATTCTGTTTTTATGCTTTTTGTCCTTGTTTTGCCATTGTAAAGCTTTTCTAAGTGATATTTCTCTCTTTTTCCACAGGAAGATTGTGAAGCAGAAAATGTGTGGGAGATGGGAGGCTTAGGGATCTTGACTTCTGTCCCCATAACACCGAGAGTAGTTTGCTTTCTCTGTGCTAGTAGTGGGCACGTAGAGGTAAGGCATCCTGCTTGTCTGTCTCCTGTGTGATGGTGGGTCACTGTGCTGTGCACAGAGAAATGGCTATTCATTTTGTTAGTAGTTAGCAGGTACTGTCCCCTTACTTAAATCAGCTACTGAATTTTTTTTAATTTTAAGAAAGAATCTAGTGGTAAATATTTTCGTCTCTTTAATATAGTACTTTGGTTTTTATATTAAATATCTGTGAATATAAAAAGCTCTTAGCAGTTATTAAGAAATGGAAAAATACACTGCAGAAAATGGACAAAAGATAAAGATAATTCATAAGATGACAAAAACATTGTTCATATGATTGTTTTTTAAGTGCTGGGGTTGCTTCAGACATAGCAGAGATGGAGACTGTTCAGTCTGCAGGTGCTGGTGACTACTCCGTGCCTCTTCCTTCATAACCAAGGGCTTTGCGTCCAAACCCGCCCCACCTACAGAAAATGTTTCCTTTTGTACATCAGTCATTGACTTCTGCAGTGAAGCAGTTTTTCTTTTGCAGGCCATAACTGTTCAATTTAAATTGTGTTTACCTTTGCATAGTAATCTTAGAATTCCTTATTTTAAAAAGAATTGGGAAGTGGCGGACACCTTTACTCTCAGCACTCGGGAGGCAGATGTAGGTGGATCTCTGTGAGTTTGAAGCCAGCCTACAAAGCCACTCTACAGAGCAACTTCCAGAATAGCCAGGGCTGTTACACAAAGAAACCCTGTCTTAAAAAAACAAAAAATAAGATAAAATGAAATGAAATAAAGAAGACTTGGAGAGCCAGCGTGTAGTGCATAAGCTTCACTCCACACTCAGTAGGCAGGGGCAGATGGGTCCTGTGAATTTCAGACCAGCCAGAGCCACGGCGTAAAACCCTGACGAATAGAGGCTGGAAAGGTGGCTCAGTGGTTAAGAGACTTACTGCTCTTCAGAGGACACAGGGTTCAGTTCCAGCCCCCACATCGGGTGGCTCATTACAACTTCAGGGGATCCAGTGTCTAATTTTGGCCTCTGCTGGCTTCCCACACACAGGTGGCATCCACTCATACCAACACAATACACATAAACAAAGAAATAAGTCTTTTAAAAAAATTAGAGTGACCTGTACTGTCGCAAATTATGATCATTGCTTGAGGAATTTTTTCCACTTAAATTCTTTCATGGTAACACATTTCAGGCCGTGGGAGGGGGGGGCACAACACACGACCTCCTCCGCCTAGATTCTACAAATGTGAATAGAGTTCCTTTTTCTGCTTTTGCTTATATGTATGTATTTTTCCAAAATACAAAATGATTCCCAGTCTTTCAGCTCAGATCAAGTGTAAAATAAAGAATGAAATGTATACACACCCATACCCATATAATCCATTTCCTAAAAACTGTGAGCAAGCTTTAAACAAAAGCCGTTGTGCTTCTTGTGTATTTCCTGGTGCATCACTGGCCCCTAATTGCAGGCTTAACCACTTGTCCCTGTAATAAACAGTTTTGTTTTTATTTTTTGGGTTGTACTTTGTATTTTGTTTTTATTTTGGGGGTTGTATTTTTTTTTAATATTATTTTCATTATTTTTCTTTCTTTTTTCTCTGAGACAGGGTTTCTCTTTGTAGCTTTGTAGCCTGCCCTGGAACTAGCTGTTGTAGACCAGGGTATCCTTGAACTCACAGAAATCCACCTGCCTCTGCCTCCTGAGTGCTGGGATTAAAGGCATGTGCCACTACTGTTTGGCAGCTTTCATTATTTTTAATAATAATGTGTATGTGTGTCTGTGTTGCGGTATGTACACTTGAGTGCTGGTATTAAAGACATGCGCCACTACACCCAGCTTAAGCTTATTTTTAATAGTTTTGGCTATGAAACAAAATTTGTGTACATTGCACAAGGGAGGTTGGGTGTGCAGTTTTCTTCATGTACATCCTGTTAGACTGCAGGATTCACACTTTGGTGCATTGGGAAATGGTATTTTCACCTGTGGCTGCCTAGGACCTACTGTATGTAGCTATTATTTCTTTCTGCACCTTGGTTACACCCTTTTTCTGATCTTGCTGCAGTTTGTGTATTGCCAAGTGTGTTGTGAACCCTTCCACAAGTTTTGCTTAGAGGAAAATGAGCGCCCTCTGGAGGACCAGCTGGAAAATTGGTGTTGTCGCCGCTGCAAATTCTGCCATGTTTGTGGAAGGCAGCATCAGGCTACAAAGGTAGAAGACCTAGTAATGGCAGTAGTAGAGCTCCTATTCCCGCCTTCTGCACCAGGATTTCGTGTTGTTATTACTATCTCCGCTGACAGTTTCTCTGTCTGTCTGAAGATAACTTGTTGATTTTTCTTTTAATTTCTGGGAAATAGCAGAAAATGACTTTAGGAAATAAAATCCAAAAATAAGTAAAATCTATCTGATAAATTTACTTATTACGGAGTGGCTTTTGAGAGGATAAGCCTCTTTCTTGGGGAGTAAGCAATGCGTGACAAAATCTAAAGTGTCTTAGTCGGAAGCTGAACAGGATCTAATGAAGGTAGTGTGATGTGTGTTCTCTTGCTGTTGTCTTTCCCTACAGCAGCTCCTGGAGTGTAACAAGTGCCGAAACAGCTATCACCCTGAGTGCCTGGGACCAAACTACCCCACCAAACCCACGAAGAAAAAGAAAGTGTGGGTGGGTACAACACACTGTGCTAACTCCACGAGTATTGTGGTGGCCGGGTGAGGCTGGTGGCTCGCAACAGTATCCCCTGCTTTAGTGCTCTGTGGAGCGAGTGTTTAACAGTAATTCCAGCAAAGAAGTCTAATCTAGGAATAGCTGCATGAGTCTTTCTAAATAACAAACAGCACTAGCCTAAGAAAGTCCTACTGAGGGGCTGGAGAGATGGCTCAGCGGTTAAGAGCGTTGCCTACTCTTCTAATGGTCCTGAGTTCAATCCCCGGCAACCACATGGTGGCTCACAACCATCTATAATGAAGTCTGGTGCCTTCTTCTGTCCTGCACGCATACGCGTAGAAAGAATATTGTAAACATAATAAATAAATATTTAAAAAAAAAAGAAAGTCCTACTGAATGAATGCCTTCTGTTTTCCAGATCTGCACCAAGTGTGTGCGCTGCAAGAGCTGCGGATCCACTACTCCAGGCAAAGGGTGGGATGCACAGTGGTCTCATGATTTTTCACTGTGCCATGATTGTGCCAAACTCTTTGCTAAAGGTACCTTGTGATAATGTTTGTGGGGGACTAAGTGGAAGGAAATGGAAAGCCCTGCTCACCGTGTCACAGATGGGATTTAGACAGGTGTTCTGCTCTTGCTCTTTTTATGTCTAGTTTGTTTTGTTGTTTTGTCTTGAGACAGGGTCTCTGTGTAGTTTTGGCTGTCCTGGAATTCTCTATGTAGACCAGAGTCACCTTTAACTCACAGAGATCCACGAGCCTCAGCTCCCCTACTTCGGGGATTAAGGGTGTGGCCACCACCCCCTACTTCTTGCTTCTTTATTTGCATAGACAGCCAGCTTGGAGCTTCTTTCTAACGCTATAGGAAGAGCTGTGGGGGGGTTCTATTATGCTCACTAGAAACAGCTGTTCCGAAACAGTGGTGCCAAATTGTGGTAAACATACATTGACTTCGGAAAGGCGTTCAGGTGGTGTCTCTCAGCAGTTCATTTCAGTAATTACCCTGGAAGTCAGGCCTGATGACACAGGAGTTCAAGGCCAGCCCTGGGAACTCAGCAAGAACCTATCTTGAAATAAAAAGTAAAGGGGCAGGGGAGAGCTGGGGGGTCGCCAGTAGAGTTTTTACCTAGAGATTGCAAGGCCTTGGGTACAGTCCTTAGCTTGGCAGAAAATAACTGCTAAAACTCCAGCTAATGCACTCACCCCACAGTCTTCTGACTTGTAATAAAGATGATCAGAAGTGACTATCATTCCTTTTCTCTTTGTCTTGAGTCACTGTCTCACTGTTCCTTCTTGGTGTTGGGATTGCAAGTTGGCTCCACCCCCAGCATAGGATACTTTAGATAAAGTAAACAGATATACTTAAAGATATTTATTAAATAGTAAAAAAAAAGTACAAAGGATACATTGGTCAGTCAGATTTATAAAGGTTATACTTAGAAATGAGTCTTAAAAAGTGCTGGTCTGAACTCTGAATATAAAAGCCGCCAGAAGAATAAGGAGTGAGTGAAAATGAGGACCTGACCATGCCAAGGAGCATTGTAGATGTGAGGGAGAGAGTACAGCCAGAGGCATCTGGAAGAATCCAGACTGAACTGGGGGTGGGGTGAGAGAAGAGAGACGAAGAACCAAGAGGGCAAAGAGGCCAAGAGCTGAGGACCGAGAGAGCACATGGGTGAATTGGCAGGTTTATATAGAAATAAGAAGCTGGGGGAAGAGAAATGAAACCCAGCCCCTGTGCTAGAGAGGTTTAAGGTAGAAGGTTGGGAGGGGGCATAGGTAGTGAGTGAGCCTTGTCCTGGCTTTCTTTGAGACCTGACAAGGAAAAAATGTAAATAAATTATTTCTTACTCCTGTGTTACTGCCTCTTTAAGAACCCAAACATTATGTTTAAAGGAGATGCTGTCTTTTCTGATTCCCTCCCCACACACTCACCTTTAATCCTCCTGCCTCTGCCTTCGAGTTACAGTTGTACACCACCACACCCAGCCTACAGTTTTTTTGTTATGTTCTCATTACAGTCTACCTCAATGCACTTAAGAGATGTCTCAAGAGACTGAGTGGTGTGTTCGAAGCTTTCTGCGAATGCTCTAGGAGCTCAGGCTATCTTGATACCACAGATGTGTGGCCGTCCAGTCTAAGCACTCTGCTGGTATTCATTAGTGACTCCAGAGGACTGGGGTTTACACTAGGGTAACACATGTAATCCAAAGGCTTTGAGAACGTTGGTGTGGGCCAAAGCCTTGTGTAACCTTGGCTTTCAGGAAACTTCTGCCCTCTGTGTGACAAGTGCTATGATGACGACGACTACGAGAGCAAGATGATGCAGTGTGGGAAGTGCGATCGATGGGTCCACTCCAAGTGTGAGAATCTCTCAGGTACAGCAGGTTGGAGTCTTTTGTTGTTGTTTTCCGTTTCTCTCTAGTGCTGCATGTACAGTACTAAGACTGTGAGGTATCATTTGCGTTCTTTGTAGTTTAGTGTTTAGTCTCCAGAATAAGCAGCTATACTGGCTTCTTCTCGCTGCTGTGACTAGTTACCGGGAGGCAGTCTTCGTTCTGGCTCATGGTTTAGAGGGCTGCAGTCCATTGTGGTGGGAAGGCACTGTGACACCAGCCAGAAAGCGGAGAAAGGGCAATGCTAGTGCTCAGCTGGCTTTCGCCTTTTCCTCTTATATTCCGTTAGAAACCCTAGCCCATAGGATTACATGCCACCTCTAATTGAGGGTGGGTCCCCCGCAGTTAAACTTCTCTAGGAACCTCTCCCAAACACACAGAATCCCATCACGTTGGTCGTGAAGATGAACTGTCACAGCAGTGTTGTTTTATTTGTGCATTTCTCTTAAGCACTTACATTTCTGGGCACCAAACCCTATTGGTTCCCCAAACCTCTTGGTTTGATTTGTGTTAATTAATAATACCCTCTTTTGGGGTCAGAATGTGGATATACTATAAGATAAAATGGTTCTCAACCTGTGGGTCTCAACCCCTTTGGGAGTCAAACGACCCTTTCACAGGGTTCACCTTAGATCATCAGAAACCACAGATATTTATATTACGATTCATAACAGCAGCAAAACTACAGTTATGAAGTAGCAGCGAAACAACTTTATAATTGGGGGTCACTACACCATGAGAACTATATTAAAGGGTCACAGCATTAGGAAGGTTGAGAACCACGGCTCTAAGAGATGAACCAGCCTAGCTCAGATCCTAACGTGCTGCTCTGTGGGTCAGAGGAATAGTTAGCTTTTTCTCCCTCTCCCGCCCTTCAAGGCCCCTCATTGTTCGGTTTTGTTTCCCTAGATGAGATGTATGAGATTCTATCTAATCTGCCAGAAAGCGTGGCCTACACTTGTGTGAACTGCACTGAGCGGCACCCTGCAGAGTGGCGACTGGCGCTGGAGAAGGAGCTGCAGGCGTCCCTGAAGCAGGTTCTCACGGCCTTGTTGAATTCTCGGACTACCAGTCACTTGCTTCGCTACCGCCAGGTGGGTCAGAGGGCCTTTCTGTTCTGAGAACTTGATCTTGGGTGGTTTAACTAGTAATGAAGTAAGGCTGTTTCTGTTTTCTGCTTAGCTGTGCTTCATTCTTCATTTACTTTTTATAGAGTTTCTTCTCTTGGTCATAACATTAGGGATTTTAGAACTAAGAATAGGACCTTGTGGTTGGAGGGATGGCTCAGCAGTTAAGAATGTATCCTGCTCTTGCAGGGGACCCAGGTATGATTCCCAGTGCTCACACTGTGGCTCACAACAGTTCCAGGGAATCTACTGTCTTCTCCCAACCTTCCTGGGCACCAAGCACACATGTAGTTCACATAATACATGTAGGCAAAGGACTCATAAAATAAAATGAATAAATCTAAAAACAAAACAAAAAACCAAAGTAGGACATTTGGTGGAGAGGAAAGAGGAAGTGGGTGCATCTTCAGAGGCCTCGCTTCTAAGTTGTCTGGTCCTGTGTGGTAGGTTATGTTTGTAACTCCAGCACTTGGGGGACAGAGGCAAGACTGAATAAGTAATTCCCCATCTCAAAAGACAAAAATGAAGGCACTTTGGGCTTCATCTGCTATTACTGATGGAGATTCAGTAAAGGACTACAAGAGAGCAGCCTGATCTGAGCTGCTTCTTGGAAAAAGCTAATTCTGACTGAAGAGTCCGGGCTAAGGAGACCTGAGTCTGAAGGCAGTTTTGGCAAGCAGCGGAAGAACCCATTGTGGATTTCTCATTTACAAAGTGGTCTTTGAGAACATAAGCAGTCCCCCTGGGAGAGCGAACGCATCACCCGAGCGCAGAGCTAGGTGCTGCTTAATCTTTCAGTATAAAGTCCCAGCTTTTGAATCATATGCTGTGGTATGCAGAATTCAATTCTCTCTCTCTGTCTCTCTCTCTCTCTCTCTCTGTTGTGATTTTCTCCGAGACAGGGTTTCTCTGTAGCTTTTTGGTTCCTGTCCTGGAACTAGCTCTTATAGACCAGGCTGGCCTCGAACTCACAGAGATCCGCCTGCCTCTGCCTCCTGAGTGCTGGAATTAAAGGCGTGCGCCACCACCGCTCGGCTTTCAATTCTCTTTCTACATTTTGGGTCTTGGAGATTAAACTTACATTGTCAGGCCGGTGGCACACCGTTACCCTCTGAGCATCTCTAGCCCCTAAAGTCCCATTTTTGGAGAAGGGAAATTAATGGTTATCTAGTGTACTTCAAGGACTGGACAGTTTTGGCCTTTTTACAGATTATTGAGCACAGTGCTTACTGTTTTCCAAACAAACCATTAGAAAATAGGACCACTTTTAATTACTCTAGTTAAGAAATCTCTGGTTATTTTCATGTCCGTGTTTCTAGTGCCATCTTCCTAACTTTAATAGAATGTGCACAGATGATAACAGAAACCTCTTTACTGCCACAGGCTGCCAAGCCTCCAGACTTAAACCCTGAAACAGAGGAGAGCATACCTTCCCGAAGCTCCCCAGAAGGGCCGGATCCTCCAGTTCTCACTGAGGTCAGCAAGCAGGACGAGCAGCAGCCCCTAGACCTGGAAGGAGTCAAGAGGAAAATGGACCAGGGCAACTATGTGTCTGTGGTATGTCTCAAGCATGTGACCAAGTTTCAAGTGTTTCTTTCAGTCTCCTTGACTCTTTGGGAGTACAGCTGGGTATAAGTAAATTTCAGAATAATTTGTGTTGTTATATAGGTTTTATGCAGCTTCAGGTTCCTAGAATATGAGTTATTTCAACTGTGTGTTTCAGAAGGGTGCTGATGTGGTAGTACCTAAAATCATTATTTGAGTTGACTCTCCTGAGTTAAATTATTTTTATGTTACAAGGAAGCACCAAACTGCTTAAGGAAAATGCTAATGTGACGTTAATGTGTCTCCCTTTGTAAGCTTAGATCTGAATGTTGGGCCTTCTTTATTCTTTATAGAGCGGTACCATAAACTTAATGTTTTAAGAATTTATAGAGTGAACTCATTCACTATGTCATTCTTACTTGCTATTGAGTTGCTTATCCATTTGAGTACAAATATAGAAAACTGGAGCCTGTTTTGGTCACTTACATGACAGAGCCAATTTGTTTGCATTCCTGCCTTATTGGCCTGACATCTCTTGATTGTCTCAAGTTAATTGTGAACTGAATCCTAAAAACCTCGGAGAGTAATTACACTGTAGTGAAATGTGTTGTGGGGTTTCTGTTGAGCTCCTGAGCTGGGTGACAGTGGAGGGATGAGGAAGTGGTTTTGAGAGCACAGTACTGTTTCGTGAATAATTAATGTTTTATTTTTGTATGCAGTTGGAGTTCAGTGATGATATTGTGAAGATCATTCAAGCAGCCATTAATTCAGATGGAGGGCAGCCAGAAATTAAAAAAGCCAACAGCATGGTCAAGTCTTTCTTTATCCGGGTGAATGAGATTAATAGTTCATGGGGGGTTGTTTTTGTTTGTTTTGGGTTTGGTTTGGCTTTGGCAGGATTTCTCTGTGTAGCCCTGGCTGTCCTAGAACTCGCTCAATAGACCAGGCTGGCCTCAAACTCACAGAGATCTGTCTGCCTCCTGATTACTGATATTAAAGGCATTCACCACCAGCGCCTGACCATTAGTTGATATTTTTAATGGTCACTATCTGTAATGGCTCTATGAATACTTCTTTCTTTTCTGTTATTTGTTTTACGATGTGGTGGGTTTAATTTTTTTCTCTAATTCTTTGGGAGGAGATTGGGAAGCTGGTAAGGTTACTAACATGGATGATCTTTGCCTTGGCCTGAAATTATCCTCAGATAGACTGAGACACTGGTCTGGGGTTTGTTTTTATTTGGTTTCTACATGGATCTTCTCATTTGAATTCTGTTTGTTTTCTTTTAGCAAATGGAGCGGGTTTTTCCATGGTTCAGTGTCAAAAAGTCCAGATTTTGGGAGCCAAATAAAGTATCAAACAAGTGAGTAACAGTACCTGACGGCAGATCAGACGTCTCGCGTGTAGACTGAGACTGACAAGAACCAGGTGTCTCATGTTTGCAGACTAGGGGTTTCTGAGATGTCTTCTGTGCTAGTTTGGAAATGACAATGTTGGTTGTGGGCTGGTGCTTTTTCCCTCACATTTGCGTCTATCTTATAGAAGACATAGTGTGACATTGCATGTGGACAGTATGTGCTGGAACCATGTTATTGATCTTAGTGTAAAATCTGTTTACTTAGTTCAAACTGCCTTTCCTTGCTTTTGATTCTTAATATGTAAACTTCAATTTTTATTCCAACAACCTATGTATTTATTTGTTTATTTGTTTAATGTAGCATTATCATTGTTTCTGGATATTTAACCAAAAGTTATGCATGCAGTCTTTCCCCTACTGCAATACTAAGTAGTGAACCTCATATATACTAGTCAAATATTCTACCACTGAGGTCAATCCCCAGCCATACAAGTCACACGAAAGATAGTTATTTAAGACGGGTGTGGTCATATTTACCCGCATTCCCTGCAGTTGGAAGACTAAAGCAGGAGGATTAGGAGTTCAAGGCCAGCCTGGATTAGATTGTGAGACCCTGTTCCAAACGAAATTAAATTTTTAAAGTGTTGAGTATAGTTAGGTGGTTTTCAAACTCTGAATTGTTCTTAAATTGTGTGCAGGGCTTATACATGGTCCAAGACCTGCTGATACCAAGAGTTGATTGTTTTGTATGGCGCTGGGCATGCCGTAGGCCCGTAGTAAATACTTGTCGATCGATTGTTTCCAGCAGTGGGATGTTACCCAACGCAGTGCTTCCACCTTCACTTGACCATAATTATGCTCAGTGGCAGGAGCGAGAGGAGAACAGCCACACTGAGCAGCCTCCTCTAATGAAGAAAATCATTCCAGCTCCCAAACCCAAAGGCCCTGGAGAACCAGACTCACCCACGCCTCTGCATCCTCCTACACCACCAATCTTGAGTAAGTCATCAAAATGAATAGACGTTACCTTCTCTTTCTAGATGCAAGTGATTGGCTTCGTGAATCTAAACTTAATGTACTGGATATCAGAAAGGAATTTCAGATAACACAACTATAAACACCTTATAAAAACGTTTATTTTATAGACTACTTAAGCTGAAGTCTCCTGTAAAAAAACAGTATTACTAATTTTAACGACATATCTTTGGGGTTCTAAGGTACTGATAGAAGTCGAGAAGACAGTCCAGAGCTGAATCCACCCCCGGGCATAGATGACAACAGGCAGTGTGCACTGTGTCTGATGTATGGTGATGACAGTGCTAATGTAAGTACATGGGATCCTGGTTAATAAAACCTAATGTGAACCGTGTGTGTGTGTGTGTGTGTTTCAAGACAGGCTTCCTCTGTGTAACAATCCTAGCATCTGCTTTGTAGACCAGGCTGACCTCAATCTCATAGAGATCCATCTGCCTCTGTCTCCCAAGTGCTAGGGTGAAAGGTGTGCACCACTATTCCTGGCTAAACCTTTTGTCCTTAGTACTTGATAACTGTATTTACTTATGAATTTATGGCAACTAGAGTTGTTTTTGTTTCTGTTTCCATTTTGAGACAGGGTCTTACCATGTTGTCCAGGCTGGTTAAGAATTTCTGATCCTCTTGCCTCAGACTCCTTAGTAGCTAGGATTATAGACAAGTAATACTGTGCTTAGCTTTAGAGATAACTTGTCTTTATATTTTAGATAGTTTTTAGATGTGTATGAAAGTCTTACCAGCATGTATGTATGCACACCACATGTGGAGTTTAGAAGAGGGTGTGGGATCCTTTGGAACTAGAGTTATAGATACTTGAGAGTCGTTGTGTGGGTGCTGGGAACTGAACCTAGGTTCTTTGCAACGCAACAACTGCTCTTCTCTCAACCAACTTCAGTCCTGGCGGTAGAGAGTTTTAAATAACTGCTGAGTTTCTTCAAAAGGTGATTTACCCTAAATGAACTTATTGATAACTAATCCTCAAAATATTTCATGAAGAATTAATCAAACTAAAGTTGAACATTATATATAGCCTGGGTTAATGTAATATAACTGAATGGTCCAGAGCCCCAGTTCTGACAGACTGCCTGAATTTATTCTGTGCCTTCCTGCCTACTAACTTTGGCAAGAGCTTAACCTCAGTGACCTTCAGTTACATCCTTAAAATGAAGATGATTATGTCTTTTTTAATTCTTACTTTTATTTTATGTGTATGGACACAGATGTATGTCTTTTCTTCATGCATGTCTGTGCATGCAGTGCCTGAGAAAAGGCATCAGATCCTCTGGAACTAGAGTTACAGATGTGTGTGAGATGCCATGTGGGTGCTAGAGTCAAACCAGGATTCTCTGTAAGAATAGAAAATGCTCTTAACTGTTGGACCATCTCTCCAGTCCCCAAGAAAATAATTCTTAACCTAGCATGGTTGTAAGGATTAAATGGAATAATGCATGTAAAATCTTTATTTAATGCCTTTCCATTGAGAACTTAAAGTGCATCATTTGGGGGAATGTGGGTCAGTAGTAGAATGTCTGCATGTGTGAAGCCCTACTTCAATCTTCAGTCCACAAGCACTTCGGGAGAAAAGTTTTGTGCAGTCTGAGAGAACTGGATTTTTTTTTTTCTAATCTGTAGCTTTGGAGCCTGTCCTAGAACTCACTCTGTAGACTAGGCTGGCCTCGGACTCACAGAGATCCGCCTGTTTCTGACTCCTGAGTGCTGGGACTAAAGGCATGCGCTACCACTACCCAGCTGAGAATTGAATTTAAAATATGTTTTTTAAGTAGTTTGCACACTTATATAAAGCTTTCATATATTGATCTTTTGCTTTCAATGGAATTACAAAATATTTTCATTTTATGAAAAAAGAATTAGAATATAGAAGAAACATTGAAAACTGGATTATGATTCAATCTCTAAAGAATTATAGTTGCTTTCTTGAGGTGTCTTGTCTGAGATAAAGTTAATATGAACTTCTTTGGTATTATGTTCTTTAGGATGCTGGCCGCCTGCTCTACATCGGCCAAAATGAGTGGACACATGTGAACTGTGCTTTGTGGTCAGCAGAAGTGTTTGAAGATGATGATGGATCACTAAAGAATGTACATATGGCTGTGATCAGGGGCAAGCAGCTGGTAAGAACTTAGTATGTACATTTATAAAGTGGACTCAGTGTTCTGGGCACGAATACAGCCTCCCTCATTGACAGTGTTGTCAGTAGCTTGCCAGTAAGTGCTGGTGTGTGTTGCAGGTCTGATCCTTTGAAAAAGGAAACAAAAGAAACACAAAAACAGGACCCAGAGATACACTGACTGCTCTTCCAGGGGATCCAGGTTCAATTCCCAGCACCCACTTGGCAGCTCACAACTGTCTGTGGCTTCAGTTCCAGGGCATCTGACACCCTCGCACAGACATATATGCAGGCAGAACACAAATGCACATGAAATAAAAATAAATAAGTCATCAAAAACAAAAGCTTTTAAAAAGAAATAGAAAAACAAAGCATCATCTGACTTGAGCATCCTTCAAATATACGAGGAACATCAATTTCAGAAGCCCAGTTAAATCAGCGTTCTGAAGTTCCACAAGATAAACCCATGTATGTGCGTGAGAACAAAGGAAGATGGGAACTTGTCAAAGCAGCTGGGAGCAGTCACGTTTAGAAGCTAGAGTTTGATCATGAAAGGTTACCAGAAGGATCGTAGCCAATAGACAAATAACACATGAAAGGAGAATGTGTGGGTTGTGGGAAGAACAGACAAGAGGACACAGACTGTCTAATAGAGTAAAAGTGATGAGGGCTTAGAGAATGGAGTCTTTGAATCATAGAATAAGGTAGTTTAGCAGTGTCATCTAATACTGCAGAACTATGCTAGCTAGCTTTATGTCGGCTTGACACAGCTAGAGTTATCTGAAACGGAAATCTATTGAGGTTAATCACTAATTAGTGATTGATGAGGAGGGTCCAGCCCATTGCAGATGGTGTCATCCCTGGGCTGGTGATCCAGGGTTCTATAAGAAAGCCGAGCTGAGGCCTAGGCAGTGGTGGTACACACCTTTAATCCAAGCACTTGGGAGGTAGAGGCAGATAAATATCTTGAGTTTGAGGCCAGTCTGGTTTACAGAGAAGTCCCAGGACAGCAATGGTTACACAGAGAAAGCCTGTCTCAAAAATAATAATAATAACAACAACAGGAGGGAGGGAGGGAGGGAGGGAGGGAGGAAGGAAGGAAGGAAGGAAAAAGCAGGATGAGTAAGCTAGTAAGCAGTACCCCTCCATTGCCTTGGTATCAGTTCCTGCCCTGTTTGAGCTCCTGCCCTCACTGCTTTTGATGATGAACTGTTACATGGCACTGTGACTGAAATAAACCCTTTCTTCCCCAAGCTGTTTTTGGTCATGAGGTTTCATCATAGTGATAGTAACCCTAAGGCAACTAGTTTCTTACTAGTAAAATTTTAGTAAACACTGAGTTGCTTTGAGATGTAACAACTTTCTTGCAAGTGTATGTTTTTTGACATTGATCTTTGTAGTTTCAAGTCTAATAAACCCACTATGCATTCTCGGAATAACTTATTTCAGTTCAAAGTGTAAATACAATTTAAGTGTTTAAATTTCCTTGTTACTACTTTGTGGTTCATATTGTTTCCCCTGTAGCTTAGCAGACTAACAAGAAAGTGTACATGGGATGCTCAGAAGGGGCAAACGTCTTAAAATGCCTGCCTGTCTAAATAGGACTGTTCTTTCTGGACTTGTAGAGATGTGAATTCTGCCAAAAGCCAGGAGCCACCGTGGGTTGCTGTCTCACATCCTGCACCAGCAACTACCATTTCATGTGTTCCCGAGCCAAGAACTGTGTCTTTCTGGATGATAAAAAAGTGTATTGTCAACGGCATCGGGACTTGATCAAAGGCGAGGTGAGAAGCTCAGCTGTTTAGTTGCTTCTGTTGTAGCTGTTAATAACAGGCTTTATTATCTCAGAGCAGACTTACACATTCACAGTAAAATTAGCAAAGGGAAGAGATTTCCTGGCCCCGCCTCACACTTCCATAGCCTCTCCCACCAGAGTGGTCTATTTGTTACAGTTGGATGGGTCTATATCAGTACACATTTCACACAGTTATCATTTATGTTAGGGTTCATTCTTGATGTTGTACACCGTATGGGTTTGTACAAATATCTTATAATGTGTATTCACCATTGTAGTTTGTATATTTTTATTTTCCTATAAATCCGGTATATTCTGCCTGTTTTTCTGACTTTTCCCCCTAAAAACCACTGATCTTTTACTAATATCCAATTTGCTGACTAGTTGTTTTAACTTACCATCCATGGCAGTTTCCACTGGCAGAGTCCTTATGGTTGGTACCGTGTAGTTTCCGCTGGCAGAGTCCTTATGGTTGGTACCGTGTAGTTTCCGCTGGCAGAGTCCTTATGGTTGGTACCGTGTAGTTTCCGCTGGCAGAGTCCTTATGGTTGGTACCGTGTAGTTTCCGCTGGCAGAGTCCTTATGGTTGGTACCGTGTAGTTTCCGCTGGCAGAGTCCTTATGGTTGGTACCGTGTAGTTTCCGCTGGCAGAGTCCTTATGGTTGGTACCGTGTAGTTTGTAGCATTTCTGCTCTGACTTTTGCTTGACAATAAGTGTTGAAGATTCCTCCTCACCTTCTGAATTCTCTATACATTTAAGAGGGAAATAGTGAAAAACAACAAGGTGATCAACTCAGTTTTGCCTTTCTTGGCTATCCCAAGGAAATCATCTCTTACGAGAAATGCAGAGGGCGGTAGTAAAAAGAAGGGTGATTTGGAGATAGGTTCTCTGCTTTGCTTCCAGGAATTGGGACTCTGAATATAACACATAAAGGGACAGTCCATTAACAACCGCATTGGGTTTCATTTAAGGTGGTTCCTGAGAACGGATTTGAAGTTTTTAGAAGAGTGTTTGTGGATTTTGAAGGAATCAGCTTGCGGAGGAAGTTCCTCAATGGCTTGGAACCAGAAAACATTCACATGATGATTGGTATGACCCAGGCCTTCGTTAATGGGGAAGACTGGTTTATCATTTGTGCGTTTTGTGGTCCTTGGTTACAAAATAATTCTCTTCGTGGTTTCTTTTTCCTTGGTTAGGCTCGATGACGATCGACTGTTTGGGGATTTTGAATGACCTCTCTGACTGTGAAGATAAGCTCTTTCCTATTGGATACCAGTAAGTCCAGTAGCCCAGTAGCATGGCTCCCAGAAAGCGTGGGGTCATTAAATGTGGAGGTATACTTGGTAGCTGCCTTTCGCTAAACCCACCACCCACCAGTTCTCACAGGCTGTCTTAAAACTCATGATCTTTCCTCATGCATTACCCTGCTCAGCTGAAAGATCATGAATTTAGCCTAGGCTACATACTGAAACCCTGTCTCAAAGCAAACAACTTATAATCTTTTGTGTTGATTAAATTATTTGACAAGCTGACAGTAAATGATCAAGATACCCTTCCTAGAGCCAGTCGGTGTTGTGTACACCTTTAACACAGGCACTTGGAAGAGAAGCTGAGGCAGGTGGATCTCTGTGAGTTCCAGGCCAGTTAGGGTCATGGGGAGATCCTATCTCAAAAAAAAAAAAAAGGAAGGAAGGAATCTCTTCTACGTCCTCGTCCCTCTTCAGAACCTGATTTTACAACACATCTTCTAATTCTGCATTCCAGCTCTCTTAACACAGCCTGTCCTTGTGTTTAGCTGGTAGATGTTTGCACAGACAAGACTCCATTAGCAGTCCCCAGAGTCAAAGCAGTTGTATTTCCTTTGTTTTGTTGAACTTACTGACAAAGAAGGTGCCTCAGGTTTAACATTTTTTTAGGGTCTTAAGTTATGTGCAATGGAAGGCACTAATGTTTTTCTTTTTCAGTACCTGAGAATATTTTACTATTTCTGGTAATTTAAAAAAAAAAAAGTCATACAACTTCCTGAGAACCTAAGACACATTAAGGACTTCTCAAAGTTTAACACCACCATACTGGAATAATAATCTCTATTAAGAACCTAAGAAATGGGACTGGAGAGATGGCTGTTCAATTCCCAGTAATCATGTTGTGGCTCACAACCATCTGCAATGAGATTTGGTGCCCTCTTCTGGCCTGCAGGCATACATGCAGATAGCAGAACACTGTATACTAATAAATAAATATTTAAAAAAAAAAAAAAAGAAGAGGAAGAGAACCTAAGAAATAAAGCTATGTTCTCTGCATTGCGACCAGAGAATCCACGGTGGGGAGGAATTTGGGAATGTCCTCCACTTGTGTTTTCCCCTTGTGTTTGCCAGGTGTTCTCGGGTGTACTGGAGCACCACAGATGCTCGCAAGCGCTGTGTGTACACATGCAAGATTGTGGAGTGCCGCCCACCTGTTGTAGAGCCAGACATCAATAGCACGGTGGAACATGATGACAATAGGACCATTGCCCATAGCCCATCCTCGTTTATAGGTTGGTTTTAATCCAAATGGGACTTGAATTCAAGTTTTTTGACTATGCACTGTGATTGGAAAATGGGGGAAAATTTAATTCAGAACACCACTTGTTTTTCTAGTTTGGCATTTATGTAATAGCACTGTGTGTGTGCCAGTCTGTGTGTGCCTGTGTATGGGATGTGCCATGGGATGTTCGAGGGGTTGGAAGACAGCTTGTGAAGTTGGTTCCCTCCCTCCGCTGTGGGTTCCAGGGACTGGACTCAGATCATCGAGCTTGAGCACTCACCCATTGCAACTTGCCGCCCTCATAGCTAGGGGTTTGATATTAGTTCACCTGTTGGGAACTTGAACTGCCCTCTTTCAGTTGCAAGTTTTTATTTCCTTTCACAGAAACTTCATGTAAGGACAGTCAAAGTACAGCTGCAATTCTAAGTCCTCCATCACCAGACCGACCTCATTCACAGACCTCGAGCTCCTGCTATTATCATGTCATCTCAAAGGTCCCTAGGATTCGAACACCCAGCTACTCCCCTACACAGAGGTCTCCTGGCTGCCGGCCGTTGCCTTCTGCAGGTAAAGGATGTCCCTGACCCAATTGACCATTCTCCTAGGTAATTTACCTTTGGGACTTTCACCAACCAAAGGTTGCCTATAAACAGGTGTGTCCACATGGTTGAAACTAGTGACGATACATTTGTTCTGTCCTTGATCCACTTTCTTACTTTTTTCTCCTTTGTTCAGGAAATCCCACCCCAACCACTCATGAAATCGTCACAGTAGGCGATCCTTTACTCTCCTCTGGTCTTCGGAGCATTGGCTCCAGGCGACATAGTACTTCTTCCTTGTCACCCCTGCGGTCCAAGCTCCGGATAATGTCTCCGATGAGAACTGGGAGTGTGTACTCCAGGAATAGTGTTTCCTCAGTCTCCACCCTTGGTACTGCTACAGATCCCGAGTCAAGTGCCAAAGCAACTGATCGCGTCGGAGGGCCATTGAATTCAAGTTCTAATCTTGGGCACAGCACTCCCACCTCTTCAGGATCACAAAGGACAATGGTACCTGGAGGCTCCAAAACTAGTCATTTAGATGGATCTTCATCCTCAGAAGTAAAGCGTTCTAGTACTTCAGATTTGACACCCAAGGGCTCTTCATTAAAGGGAGAAAAAACCAGAACTCTGAGTTCCAAGAGCTCAGATGGATCTGCACATAACACAGGTTACTCTGGGATTCCTAAACTGGTTCCACAGGTCCATAACGCCACTGCAGGAGAGTTAAGCATTAGTAAAATGGGCACTTTTGCTGACCCCTCTTCAGTGCCCTTTTCTTCTAAAGAGACTCTCTCCTATCCACAACTCCACGTGAGGGGACAAAGGAATGATCGAGACCAGCACACAGATTCTTCCCAGTCAGCAAAGCCTTCTCCAAATGAAGACAGTGAAATCAAAACCTTGAAGCTTTCTGGTGTGGGCCACAGGCCATCCATTCTTCATGAACATGTAGGGTCCAGTTCTAGAGACAGGAGACAGAAAGGGAAAAAGTCTTCTAAAGAGACTTGCAAAGAGAAGCATTCCAGTAAATCATCTTTGGAACCTGGTCAGATTACGACTGGTGAGGAAGGAAACCTGAAGCCAGGGTTTGTTGATGAGGTCTTGACTCCTGGGTTTCTGGGGCAACGGCCATGTAATAATGTTTCATCTGATAAGATTGGGGATAAAGTTCTTCCTATTTCAGGAGTCCCTAAAGGTCAATCCACACAAGTAGAAGGGTCTTCCAAGGAGTTACAGGCACCCCGGAAGTGCTCAGTCAAAGTGACACCTCTGAAAATGGAGAGTGAGAATCAATCTAAAAATACCCCAAAAGAAGGTGGCCCTGGCTCCCCTGCACAAATAGAACCAGCATGTCCAGCAGAGCCAGTTTCCGCTTCCAGAAGTCCAGGAGCTAGCCCAGGTGTTCAGCCGAGCCCCAACAATACCTCATCCCAAGACCCTCAAAATAACAACTATCAGAATCTTCCAGAACAGGACAGAAACCTCATGATTCCAGATGGCCCCAAGCCTCAGGAGGATGGCTCTTTTAAGAGGCGGTACCCCCGCCGCAGTGCCCGTGCAAGGTCTAATATGTTCTTTGGGCTCACCCCACTCTATGGAGTAAGGTCTTACGGTGAAGAAGACATTCCATTCTACAGCACTTCTACTGGGAAAAAGCGAGGAAAGCGGTCAGCAGAAGGACAGGTGGATGGGGCCGATGACTTGAGCACTTCTGATGAAGACGACTTATACTATTACAACTTCACCAGAACGGTGATTTCTTCTGGTGGAGAGGAGCGGCTGTCATCCCATAATTTATTTCGAGAGGAGGAACAATGTGATCTGCCAAAAATTTCACAGTTGGACGGTGTTGATGATGGGACAGAGAGTGATACTAGTGTCACTGCCACAGCCAGGAAAAGCAGCCAGATTCCAAAAAGAAACGGTAAAGAAAATGGAACAGAAAACATAAAGATTGATCGACCTGAAGATGCTGGCGACAAAGAGCATGTCATTAAGAGTGCTGTTGGCCATAAAAACGAGCCAAAGCTGGATAACTGCCACTCCGGAGCCAGAGTGAAAGCCCAGGGCCAGGACTCCCTGGAAGCTCAGTTCACCTCCTTGGAATCAAGCCGCAGAGTCCACATGAGCACCCCCTCAGACAAAAACTTACTGGACACCTACAACACTGAGCTCCTCAAGTCTGACTCTGACAATAACAACAGTGATGATTGTGGGAACATCCTGCCTTCAGACATCATGGACTTTGTACTAAAGAACACTCCGTCCATGCAGGCTCTGGGTGAGAGCCCAGAGTCATCGTCTTCTGAACTCTTGACTCTTGGTGAAGGGCTGGGGCTTGACAGTAATCGGGAAAAGGACATGGGTCTTTTTGAAGTATTTTCTCAGCAGCTGCCGGCGACAGAGCCTGTGGACAGTAGTGTCTCCTCTTCCATCTCAGCAGAGGAGCAGTTTGAGCTGCCTCTTGAGCTGCCGTCTGACCTCTCTGTCCTGACCACCTGCAGTCCTACCGTCCCCAGCCAGAATCCCAGTAGATTGGCTGTCATCTCAGATTCAGGGGAGAAGCGAGTGACTATGACAGAAAAGTCTGTATCCTCCACCGAGGGTGACCCAGCATTGCTGAGTCCGGGAGTAGACCCTGCTCCTGAAGGCCACATGACTCCTGATCATTTCATCCAAGGACACATGGATGCAGATCACATCTCCAGCCCTCCCTGTGGTTCAGTGGAACAAGGTCATGGCAACAATCAGGATTTAACTAGAAACAGTAGCACCCCTGGCCTTCAGGTACCTGTTTCCCCTACTGTTCCCATCCAGAACCAGAAGTATGTGCCCAATTCTACTGATAGCCCCGGCCCATCTCAGATCTCTAATGCAGCTGTCCAGACCACTCCACCCCACCTGAAACCAGCCACTGAGAAACTCATTGTCGTTAACCAGAACATGCAGCCACTTTATGTTCTCCAAACTCTTCCAAATGGAGTAACCCAAAAAATCCAATTGACCTCTCCTGTTAGTTCTGCACCCAGTGTGATGGAGACAAATACTTCGGTATTGGGGCCCATGGGAAGTGGGCTCACCCTAACCGCAGGACTAAATCCAAGCTTGCCACCTTCTCAGTCTCTGTTCCCTCCTGCTAGCAAAGGACTGCTCTCCATGCCTCATCACCAGCACTTACATTCCTTCCCTGCGGCTGCTCAGAGTAGTTTCCCACCCAACATCAGCAGTCCTCCTTCAGGCCTGCTTATTGGGGTTCAGCCTCCTCCAGATCCCCAACTCTTGGGTTCAGAAGCCAACCAGAGGACAGACCTCACTACCACAGTAGCCACTCCATCCTCTGGACTCAAGAAAAGACCCATATCTCGTCTACACACTCGAAAGAATAAAAAGCTTGCTCCCTCTAGTGCCCCTTCAAACATTGCCCCTCCTGATGTGGTTTCTAACATGACACTGATTAACTTCACCCCCTCCCAGCTTTCAAACCACCCCAATCTGTTAGATTTGGGGTCACTTAACACTTCATCTCACCGAACTGTCCCCAACATCATAAAAAGATCTAAATCTGGCATCATGTATTTTGAACAGGCACCCCTGTTACCACCACAGAGTGTGGGCGGAACCGCTGCCACAGTGGCGGGCACATCAACGATAAGCCAGGATACTAGCCACCTCACATCTGGGCCCGTGTCTGCCTTGGCATCTGGTTCCTCCGTCTTGAATGTGGTATCCATGCAAACTACAACAACCCCTACAAGTAGTACATCAGTTCCAGGACATGTCACCCTAACCAACCAGAGGTTGCTTGGGACCCCAGACATTGGCTCAATAAGCAATCTTCTAATCAAAGCCAGCCAGCAGAGCCTGGGCATTCAGGACCAACCTCTGACTTTACCACCAAGTTCAGGAATGTTCCCACAACTGGGAACATCACAGACTCCTGCTGTTGCAATGACAGCAGCATCTAGCATCTGTGTGCTCCCCTCACCTCAGACTACGGGCATGACAGCTGCATCCCCTTCTGGGGAGGCCGAAGAACACTATAAGCTGCAGCAAGTGAACCAGCTCCTAGCTGGCAAAACCAGCATCCTCTCTTCACAGCGGGAGCGGGATCCTGACTCTGCTTCAGGGACCCAGCCATCCAACTTCACCCAGACAGCAGACACTCCTAATGGTGTGAAGCTAGAGCAGAACAAGGCTTTACCCTCAGCCAAGCAAGCCAGCTCCACCTCTCCGGGGAGCTCCCCATCCTCTGGACAGCAGTCAGCAAGTTCCTCAGTGCCAGGTCCCACTAAACCAAAACCAAAAGTCAAAAGGATTCAGCTGCCCCTAGACAAAGGGAATGGCAAGAAGCACAAAGTTTCCCATTTGCGGTCCAGTTCTTCTGAAGCACACATTCCAGACCAAGAAGCCAAGCCGGTGCCCCAGCCCTCAGCCACACGGTGAGTGATAGGCAGGCTAATTCTGCTGCAGCTGTGGGGTTCTGTGCTCTGGGTGTGACGCTGCTCACTTGGTCCTAGGGAGTTCCTTTCTTCATCTGGGCCTTTGGTAGTGATGGGTGGAGCAGAAACCAGCTCCTCTGTGAATGGTTTGACTGAGAGCCACGGCTTTGATTGTCCTTTGCTTTGATCTTAGTCAGTGCTGCTATTTGTTCCTGTTTCTGTTTTCCTGAGGTCTGGGGATGCAGGAGAATGATAGTCTTCTCTGATGGGCAAGGACTCCTGCTGCGCAGTCTCCTGAAGCCCTCTCTTTCTTAAAAAACTCATTGTTGGAAGTATAACATATAAAGTATGGAGGAGACTTCCCTGTCCCTAGACGGTCCTTGTGCCCTCTTCCTAGCTTTGTGACCTTAGTTCCTGTTGCCGGCTTGTGAACTTTATCTGTCCAATGCATATTTGCTGATGGTTTCTTGAAAAGATACACCGATTCTGTTATAGGACGCCTAGAACCGACAGGGAGCAGCAGGATGCAGCTGGTGTGGAACAGCCTTCACAGAAGGAGTGTGGGAAGCCTGTGGGGTGAGCTGCAGATCTCTCTTGTGTCCACCACGTGTAAAACAAGCTTCCTCCTGATTTGCACTGGGTTTGGTTTTGTTGACAGAAGAGTTCTTGACAGGCATCACATGGTATGGGTGTCTGTAATCCCAGTGCTGGGAGGCTGAGGCAGGCAGACCTCTATGAGTTTGAAGCCAGTCAAGGCCTCATAGTAAGACTTCCACCCCCCTCCCCCAAAAAAGGATCCTATTTTGTTTTAATAAAACTAAATGCAGACAGGCTTGTAAAACAAAAATGAAGTAGACTTTTTTTTTTTTTCGAGACAGGGTTTCTCTGTGGCTTTGGAGCCTGTCCTGGAACTAGCTCTGTAGACCAGGCTGGTCTCGAACTCACAGAGATCTGCCTGCCTCTGCCTCCCGAGTGCTGGGATTAAAGGCGTGCGCCACCATCGCCCGGCAGTAGACTATTTTTTTATCTTAGATTTGCAGTTATTATCTGTATGGTGTACATGCACTAGTGTAGTTGCAGTTATTATCTGTATGGTGTACATGCACTAGTGTAGTTGTAGTTATTATCTGTATGGTGTACATGCACTAGTGTAGTTGTAGTTATTATCTGTATGGTGTACATGCACTAGTGTAGTTGTAGTTATTATCTGTATGGTGTACATGCACTAGTGTAGTTGCAGTTATTATCTGTATGGTGTACATGCACTAGTGTAGCACATATGTAGAGGTCAGAGGACAACTTGACGCGAACATTTCACTCCTGCCTTTACACAGACTCTAAAGATCAAACTCAGGCTATCAGGCTTGCACAGCAAGTCATTTTACTCTCTGAGCCATCTTGCTGGCCCATCTACCACTACCCTTTTTTGCCTTTCTCTAAGCTAAAGTTATTTAAATGATTTCTGATGGCTCCTGTATGTCCTGCCCATTCCTCAGTCTCTTCCCTGGAAGTCCATTTGGTAATGGTTTGGTGTTTGGGGTTTTTTTAATTTTTTTATGATTTATTTATTTATTTTTGTTTTATGTACATTGGTATTTTGACTATATGTATGTTTGTATGAGGGTGTTAGATCCCCTGGAATTGGAGTTACACACAGTTGTGAGCTGCCATGTGGTTGCTGGGAATTGAACTTGGATCCTTTGGAAAAGCAGCCAGTGATATATATTAACCACTGAGCCATGTCTCCAGCCTAATGGTTTGATTTTATTCTGCAGATATGTGTGTGTGTGTACTCTTATGTAAGCATGTGTACATACTTTTATATTAAATGGATGCTGCTATACTTACTGTTCTTATTTTTTCACTTAATTGTTTTTGACATGTATCCATGCTATGTTCCAGTTGTTTCTCTGCCGCTTCCAGTGCTGTGTGTGCTCTACAGTATTAACTTAACTAGCTAACTTCATGCATATTAGTATGCACTTGGGCTACTTCAGGAGTTATTACATTTGAAAAGCTGAAAATAGGTGGTCTACTGGCTTCTGCAGCCTACTCATGGTTTTAGTTAAGCCAGCTGACTTACTTGAGTTATACAACACTGTCCTGACGAGCGTCTTTCCATTTTTATTACTATAACAATCTCAGAATCAGATGCTTACTGCCAATATTTGGGAAGAAGTCTTCTGAGCATGGTTTTAGGGCTGGAGAGATGACGAAGCACTTTCTGTTCTTACAGAGCATCCTCGTTTGCATCCAGTGCCTCTCCAGCTTCTGTGGGCACCCATATAGTCACGGCAAACACAATATACACAAAGAAAAATTTTAAAATTTGACCTAAAAACTTAGGATCTCCGGATCCCACAGTGGAAGGAGCTTTTCAACATCCAGGCATACATACTTCCCCCACCCTCAAGCACCGATAAACGAATTTTCCAGCACTTTATGCTCATTTTCTTAGCCACTGTTTAAATAGCTGACAGAGTACATGGCAGATCGTGAACAGTTTTATCTTTGAGTTGAAAACCAGCTGGCCTCGCCTCTCATGTCTGGTTTTATTTTTCTTTCAGACCAGTGGCTGCTCTTCCAGAAATTCAGGCAATCAATCCAGCAAGTGAGCAAGAAAATGCAGGTATGTTGGTTGGTTAAAATTCATGTGTGTTTTGTCTACTTCCCATAGCCAAGAGGATAACTATATGTTTTTCCTTGGGTTAACCTTCTTATTTAGCTTCTTTAGGTTCACCAATTGTAGACTCCGTGACCCTTATTTATTGCTAGAAACCGATTATGAGTGAGTACATCCCCTGTTCATCTTTTTGGGTCTGGGTTACCTCACTCAGGATAGTGTTTTCTATTTCCATCCATTTGCATGCAAAATTCGAGAAGTCATTGTTTTTTACCGCAACGTAGTACTCTAATGTGTATCTATTCCACACTTTCTTCATCCATTCTTCCATTGAAGGACATCTAGGTTGTTTCCAGGGTCTGGCTATTACAAATAATACTGCTCTGCAGGACAGGCTCCAAAGCCACAGAGAAACACTGTCTCAAAAAACCAAAAAAAAAAAAAAATAATAATAATACTGCTCTGAACATAGTTGAACAAATGCTTTTGTCATATGATAGGGCATCTCTTGGGTATATTCCCAAGAGTGGTATTGCTGGGTCTAGGGGTAGGTTGATCCCGAATTTCTTGAGAAACCGAAACACTGATTTCCAAAGTGGTTGCACAAGATTGCATTCCCACCAGTAATGGATGAGGGTTCCCCTTCCTCCACAGCCTCTCCAGCAAAGGCTATCATTGGTGTTTTTGATTTTAGCCATTCTGACAGGTGTAAGATGATATCTCAAAGTTGTTTTGATTTGCATTTCCCTGATTGCTAAGGAGGTTGAGCATGACCTTAAGTGTCTTTTGGCCATTTGAACTTCTTCTGTTGAGAATTCTCTGTTCAGTTCAGTGCCCCATTTTTTAATTGGGTTAATTAGCATTTTAAAGTCTAGTTTCTTGAGTTCTCTATATATTTTGGAGATCAGACCTTTGTCTGTTGTGGAGTTGGTGAAGATCTTCTCCCAGTCAGTAGGTTGCCTTTTTGTCTTAATGACAGTGTCCTTTGCTTTACAGAAGCTTCTCAGTTTTAGTAGGTCCCATTTATTCAATGTCCTTAATGTCTGTGCTGCTGGGGTTATACCTAGGAAGCGATCTCCTGTGCCCATCTGTTGTAGTGTACTTCCCACTTTCTCTTCTATCAGGTTCAGTGTGTTCAGACTGATATTGAGGTCTTTAATCCATTTGGACTTGAGTTTTGTGCATGGTGATAGATAAGGGTCTGAACATGGCGAGCAATGAGGGCTGATGAGAAGCCAAGGACAATGGCACGGGGTTTTGATCCTACTTCATCTTCTGGCTTTGTGGGAGCCTAGCCAGTTTGGATGTTCACCTTCCTAGACATGGACGGAGGAGGGAGGACCTTGGACTTTCCACAGGGCAGGGAACCCTGACTGCTCTTTGGACTGGAGAGGGAGGGGGAGAGGAGTGGGGGGAGGGGAAGAAGGGTGGGAGGAGGGGGAGGGAAATGGGAGGCTGGGAGGAGGCTGAAACTTTTTTTTCCCTTTCTTAATAAAATAAAAAAAAATTCACTTGTGTTAGCCACACATGGTGGCGCACACTTGTAACTCCAACACTTGAAAAGCTGAGATAGAATTGAGTTCAAGGCAAGCCTGTGCTGCAGAGTGGACTTGAGTGCAGCCTGTACTACATCATAAGTCCCAGCCTAAAAACGGAAGAATCGCTTGCATTATCTCCTGATATTCTAGATGGAGAGACACCAACCCAAGTCCCAAGAAGTTAAGTGATGATGTAAAACTCAGCCCTTTCTCCCAGCTTCCTTGATTGTGGTCTGTCATCACCTACCATAGGTGGATCATCTTGTTAAACTATCTCTAAGAACAGTGACATTTTCAGTAGCTGCAATAACCTTTGGTTATCTCTTGGGTTGTTTCTCATATCTGGATAGTAATTTAGGGTAAACTCCCTTCCAGAAACTGGAACCATCTCCCTTAGGTAGTTGGTATTTGATCCTAAAACCATGTGCACCTCACAGTACTTCCTGGCTTAGTGCCATTTGATCACTTTACAGTTAGCATGGTACGCACAGAGAACCCAAGCACTTGACACCAGAAGCAGAGGCAGGAAGGTTGTCATGAGTTTGAAAACAATCTGGGCTACATACTGAGGCCCAGGCTAAGCCTGGACCTCAGAGGTGAGTTCTTGTCTTAGAAAAACAGATTAAGTAACTAAACAATAATAAAAAAGTGACTTTCCAGCCAGGCGGTGGTGGCGCACACCTTTAATCCCAGCACTCGGGAGGCAGAGGCAGGTGGATCTCTGTGAGTTCGAGGCCAGCCTGGTCTACAAGAGCTAGTTCCAGGACAGGAACCAAAAGCTACGGAGAAACCCTGTCTCGAAAAATAAAAATAAAAAAATAAAAAAATGACTTTCCAGAAGAGAACGGCTTAGCCTTGATTTGGACTGTTACCAAGCCTGAGTCAAGCCTGAGTACTAATTCCAGGCAGGCGTGGTGACTGAGTTCAATCTCCAGAACCAGGCAGCTTCAGAGCCCATGTTTGTGTTAGTTGTATGGACCTGACTTTTACTTGGCCTGCCTCAGCTTCCCCGTATTTATTCATGTATTCATTCTTTCATTGCATTACGTTGAATGATGTCTCACTGTGTTGTCCTGGCTAGCCTCTTTACTTTCTAGGTAGCGCAGGTTAGCATTGGTCATCCTTCCTCCTCCCCACAACAGTAGGGTCATGGGCATGCACCACCACACCCAGCTCAGTTTTCTAACCTTTAAAAGGAGTCAAGATGGCTTATGATAACATACCTCTAAGCATAGCACTTGGGAAGCAAAAGCAGACTGATCTCTGTGAGTTTGAGGCCATCATGGTCTCCATAGCAAGCTCAGATCAGGCAGGGCTACACAGTAAAACCTTATCTCAAAAATGTGGGGGCGGTTAATAATAACACCTGTCTCAGTGGTGATTGTGAGGACTGCAGGAGGTAATCTGGGTGAAGTTCCTAGAAGAGTATCTGAGACATAACCAGTGGTTGAGATGTAGTAAAGGGAACTTTTGTTTGCTTTGGTTTGACTTGGCCTTGATCCTATTGAGAGCAGTTGTGTATGAAGAAAAAAAAAAAGATTACATTGTTATACCACAAGCTCTGCTACAAAAAAACAAAAACAAAAAAAAAACCACCTATTGAATAGCACACACACCCTCATCATTTTAGTACTTGGTAGCTGTGTCCCAGGGCAAGTTCCTTGCACCTCAGTGCTCTTACTGGTGAGGAGATACAGTATGTCCTCAGAAATGGGGTGATGCATGTAGAGCAAGGGTTCTCAACCTTCCTAACGCTGCAACCCTTTAGTACAGTTTCTCATCTTGTGGTGACCCCCAACATAAAAAAATGTTTTTGTTGCTACTTCATAACTCTAATTTTGTCACTATTGAGTCATAATATAAATATCTGTGTTTTCTGATGGTCTTAGGCTACCCCGGTGGAAGGGTGGTTTGACCCCCAAAGGGGTCATGACCTGCAGGTTGAGAACCACTGGAGTAGAGCTTTCTGCACATAGCACTCAATGCCCATTGGCTTAAGCAAATACTACGGCCCTTGTTTTCCCTTCTTAGAGCCGAAAGCAGTGGAAGAAGAAGAGAGCGGTTTCAGCTCACCACTGATGCTTTGGCTCCAGCAGGAACAAAAGAGGAAGGAAAACATCACTGAGAAAAAGCCCAAGAAAGGACTTGTTTTTGAAATTTCAAGTGACGATGGCTTTCAGATCTGTGCGGAAAGCATTGAAGGTGAGTGGCTTGAGTTAAGTCTGCTTCAATCAGGCCCTTGTTATGGTTGCTTCTCTGCACAAGAGGCATTTCTCTTGTTGATGAGGCAGCTGTCACTCTTGAGAGTTCAGGGCTGCCGTTACATGCACTCACATACTGAGCAGAGCTTCTCCCCAGCACTGCTGCCCTCCCCCAGCTGCGCTCCCACACAAGCTCCTGTGGTGTTCCTTGTTCTCTCCAGCTTGCCCCCCTGCAGTGATGCCCCTCCTCTTCCAGGTGTGCTCCCACAGTGTCCCTTCCTGTCTCCCCTGGTTACTGCCAGCGCTGCTTTTTCTGTCTGCTGCAGCAGAAAGCCCTGCGTGCAAATGCTATAGTCCTGTCTCACTCATTTAGCTCTGAGCTCTTCAGTGAAGGCTGGAATTTTACTGTCTTGTTCACTCTTAGCTTGTTAGGTGTTCATTAGTTGCTAGAGAACTAGTGAGGCCTCCTAGGCTGTAAGTACTAGGAACATTGAAAGAAATGAAAGATCACTGGGGTGAGTTAGGGCCAAAACCCTGGAAGATGACTAGAGCAGCAGTTAAGGGGAAGTGGAATTTGGATTAGCCGAAGAGGAATGCAGGGAGCTTTCCCCAGAGAGAATGTAATGATGTTAGAAAAACTGCGGTTTTGAGTAATTGTGAATGGGAAAATGCCTTTGAACAGTGAAAGGAAAATTGGAAGGTGAATTGGACACAAGTTTGAGAGAGAGCCCATAGTGACAAACCATGAGATCTTTGAATTTTTTTAATAGAATAAATAGCAGAAATTCATAAATTCATAAAGCTCAGTGTAGCAGCTCTTTACAAGACTGGCTTAAACTGGGTCTGTGCAACTTACCAGGGCGTTTTTCAGAATAAAATGAGCAAATAAGAAAGGGCTGGGGTACAGATCAGTATGCTAAATGCTTATCTAGCATGTGCAGAGCCTTCTTCGGTTTGATCCCCAACACCTCAAGGGGGAGAACGACACTGAGCTAGAGACACTGGGAGGCATGAAATTATTATTTATTAAGTGTATTGCTGTAGTAGAAATGCCAGGTAATAAAATCCACATTGGAAAAGAAAGGACGGAACGGTGGACAGACTTGGTGACTCCTTCGATATGAGGGTAGAGAGAAGAGTCAGAGATCCTCAGACCCGGATGTGGCAGTGCATACTCTCCTCACACCTGCTGTGGAGCCTGGGGCAGAGATGAGTGGAACCCAGGAGTTCCGTCAGAACCAGCCTAGGCAAATGCTGGGAGAAGAACAAATTTGAAAGTATGAGTTCTAAAAGTACAGTAATGAACATGTCTGTGTATGAAAATGTAACAAGGCTGAGAGTGAGCTGGCCTGGTGGGGCATACCTATAGTCCCAGCGCTCTGGAAGCTGAGCCTTGAAGATTGCACACATTCAAGGCTAGTCTGGGCAACCCAGTGAATTCCAAACTAGCCTACAGTACAAAACTGTCTCTATTAAAAAGAAAAGAAAATGGAATCGTAACGAATCCCATTCTTTCGTATATTAACTTTTGTTGTTGAGGCAAGGTCTCACTATTCACTAGCCTGGATCTCACTTTGTAGACCAGGCTGATCTCAGATTCACAGAGATCCACCAACTCCAGAGAGGTGAAATTAAAAGCAGACACCACCACACCCAGCTGCCACCACATCCATCCCTGTTTACTTTTTTTAAAATAATTTTAAGGTCAAGTATGACAATGCACCAGGGATAAGGATATTGGGAGTCAGAAGGTATGCGTATCCTCAGGCCCCTGGTAAAGGGAATTGCTGCGAACAGTGTGTTCCTGGCTGCTTCTCAGGTACTGAATTGAGACATGGAGAAAAACAACAGTGCTGACGTCAGGTGCAGTGTGATTCTCTACACCAGTGGCCATGCACACTGTTTGGCAGTAAGACATGTCAGCACAAATTCTTTCCTGCCTATGGTTTTCTTTTATTTCCTTTCAGATGCCTGGAAGTCACTGACAGATAAAGTCCAGGAAGCCCGATCCAATGCCCGTCTGAAGCAGCTCTCATTTGCAGGTAACGGGTGGTGCTGTTACTTTGCTACAGACTCCAAATGTTCTGGCAACTTGTTAGTATAAGCCACACAGTTGAATCTTAAAAAAAAAAAAAAATCAATAAAAAGTGTTTAAATAAAAGATAAAATAATTCCCAGCTTTAGGGTGTAAATACTAACTTTGTGTTTGGAATTGTATGTGATCCTAGTATAAGCAAACTCCTGAAATGGAGCTCTTATCCATAATAAACACTTTATTCTATATCTAATGGTAATACCAGAGTTTTTTACAGTACTAGGAATTGAACCTAGGACATCACACACACGTGGGCAAGTACTCCACACAGCCATATTCACAGGCCCTTAGTTGAAATAACATACCTAATAATAATGTGTAGAACATTAGCTGTTTGCTACTGTCAGGAAGAAACATGACATTGGTTAAGTGACTTGTTTCTTTTCTGTAAAGATACTTCCAGCCATCCATGCCAGCAGATTTATAGAAACGTTTTCATAAAATAAAGAGAAAATGTGAATGCTTCTACATCATGAGGCTGAGGAAAACCAAGCAGCCGTGAAGTGTACAGCACCCACAGTCACTGTAAGCCCAGGAGGGCTCTGTGTCTAAAATAATGTCGCTCCTTTCGAATTTGGTGCATATGAGCTCAGAACCAGGTGCTCTATTACCTGTAAACAAAAAGGAGATCGGACTTGGAGTTATAGAGTACAAAGTTCAAATCCCAGCACACCAGCTGTGTGACCTGGGCTGTGTTAAAGTCTATGACGCTAAGTTAGTTTTCTCTCTTTAACATGAAGCTTTTAATGGGCTGGGGTGTCACTCAAGTGACAGGGTGCTTACCTAGTTATATATCAAACTTAGTGAAAGGACTCTAGCCGACCCGGGCATGGCAAACATGGACCTGGTAGGCCTTGCCCTGCTCCCTTGTCCGCTCTCTCCTGTCTTATTCCCTGCTCTCTCTGCCTTGGTAAAAACCATGAAATTATATTCTTTTTTTTTTTTTTTTTTTTTTTTTTTTTTTTTTTTTTGGTTTTGGAGCCTGTCCTGGAACTAGTTCTTGCAGACCAGGCTGGTCTCGAACTCACAGAGATCCGCCTGCCTCTGCCTCCCGAGTGCTGGGATTAAAGGCGTGTGCGCCACCACCGCCCAGCATAAAATTATATTCTTAAAGCTAGTCCTAAGGTCTCTTTTTCCCTTATTTGGTCACTTCCTCCTTCTGAGACTTGACTATCAAGGTTCAGTTATCCAAGTATTGGAGTCCAGCAATCAGAGCCCCATTTTGACTGCCCTAATTAGCATGCCCAATTAAGATTAAACACCTCGCCGGGCGGTGGTGGCGCCTTTAATCCCAGCACTCGGGAGGCAGAGGCAGGCGGATCTCTGTGAGTTCGAGACCAGCCTGGTCTACAAGAGCTAGTTCCAGGACAGGCTCCAAAACCACAGAGAAACCCTGTCTCGAAAAACAAAAAAAAACAAAAAAACAAACAAAAAAAAAAAGATTAAACACCTCATCCTAACACAGGTTTCCCCTTCGCCTTTATAAACTGCCATTTGTCTGTGGGCCACATCTGTCTCCTCCCGCTCCAGACGCAGGTCTTTGTTGCTGCCCCCCATAATGAATACCTTCCCCACCCCTTGTTCTTTTACCTCTTCTCCCTTGTCTGGTATCTCTTGTCTTATTTCCTGCTCTTTGTCCCTTTGAGGAAAATAAATCTCATTTGTGCAGAGAACTTGGTCTTAAGGATCTTGAACTGATCCTGGTCCTTTCGTGATGGAGGAAGGTCATTGGCTAATAAAGGCACTGCCCTGGCCCATTTTATTGGTTAGGACATAGGTAGGTGGAGTAAACAGATCAAAATGCTGGGAGGAAGAGGAAGTGAGGTCAGAGACTCCACAGCTCTCTCGGGAGCAGACGCCTGAGAGAGATGTCATGCCCCGCTCCCGGCATGAAGCTCCGACCCAGGATGGACTAGGCTAGAATCTTCCCGGTAAGACCGGTTCGGTTCTCACAGATTATTAAAGATGGGTTAATCGGGATGTGAGAATTAGCCAGTAAGGGCTAGGGCTAAAGGGCCAAGCAGTAATTAAAAAAATACAGTGTCTGTGTAATTATTTTGGGCATAAGCTAGCCGGGCAGGCGGCCGGGGGTGCTAAAAACGCAGCCCTGCCGCCCTTATTACTTCACTTTCGCTTACCCCGCCCCCAACAATGACTGGTGATTCCTACATTGGGTGGCCATTATGAGCATGAAATAAAATGGCACATAGCCCTTTATACATGCAACACATAGAAAACAGGCCAGAGTTTGGTGAGAACAATTTGTGGTAAACATTCTAAATTTATCAGGCATTATTTCAGTAGCATTCTCATGCCAATTTCTAAATAGTTACAATGTCACCTACCAGAGTATTAGCCTTTGGCTGTTGCTCTCCAATGCAGCCTTTTGTTAATGTCACTCAGCTTCCTGTGGCTACACACTCACCACCCAGGTGCCTTTCATTCTTTAGGTGTGAACGGTTTGAGGATGCTCGGGATTCTCCATGATGCGGTTGTGTTCTTGATTGAGCAGCTGTCTGGTGCCAAGCACTGTCGGAATTACAAATTCCGTTTCCACAAACCAGAAGAGGCCAATGAACCCCCCTTGAACCCTCACGGCTCAGCCAGGGCTGAGGTCCACTTGAGGCAAGTTCCATTTTGTTTGGTTTGGGTTTTTGATATTCTCTTTATTTCTTTTTTCTTCTCTTTTTTGGTTTTTCGAGACAAATTTTTTGAGTGTAGTCCTAGCTGTCCTGGAACTTGCTCTGTAGACCAGGCTGACCTCAAACTCATAGAGATTGGTCTGCCTCTGCCTCTCAAGTGCTGGGATTAAAGGCGTGTGTCCACCACTACTGGGCCCATTTTGTTTTATGAGCATTTGCAGTCTTGGCTTTGTTATCTAATGACAGTTGTGTCCCACTGCCTTTAAGGTCTTCAGTATCAGTGGTGCCGTCCTCACTCCTTTACTAGAGCCTTTCTCTAAAAACAAACCTTAATCTTTTGGCTCCAGGAAGTCGGCATTTGACATGTTTAACTTCCTGGCTTCTAAACATCGGCAGCCTCCTGAGTACAACCCTAACGACGAGGAAGAGGAGGAGGTACAACTCAAGTCTGCTCGGTGAGTCATCATGGCCTGACTTGACACCCTGACTCCTGCCGCTCTTAGTTGAATAGGAGTTTTTGATGTAATATACATGAGACTACTGTTTCTTCTTGTGGCTCTAGAGGGAAAGAGCCACTAATACCTAGAAGTGTGTTAATAGTCATTGCAACTCCTCTCTTCAGCTGGGCACAGTGCTGCACACCTGTAATCCCAGCACTCAGGGGTTAAGCAAAAGCATCTCAGGTTTAAGATCATTCCCAGCTACATTCAGACTTGAGTTGAAAACCAGCCTGGCCTACATCAGACCCTGTTCCAAAAAACAAAACAAATAAAAAAACACAAAAGAAACTTCTGGTTTTCACCCGGAGTACTTTCTGATGGGATGGCAGTTTCTTGGGTGACACTTGGAAGACTGATATAGTTTACACTGGAGTAGCATTAGCTGACTGGTAACGAAAATAATATGAAGGAGCTGAAGAGATGGCTCAGTGGTTGGGAGCACTGACTGCTCTTCCAGAGGACTCGGGTTTAATTCCCAGCACCCACATGGCAGCTCACAACTGTCTGCAGCTCCAGTTCCAGTGGTTCTGACTCCCTTATACAGACATGCAGGCCAACACCAATGCACATAAAAATATTTTTTTTAAAAAATGTGAATATGAAATTTGAATAATTATAGGATGTATTTTTAATTAATAATCTATCCCAATAACTATTCATGTGATACTAGTCACGTTTAACCCCCAAGAGCTATGTATATATTACATTGTAGCCAGTCATCATGGGCACAGGCATATGGTTCCAGTACTCAGGAGGCTGAGGCAGGAGTGTTGCCTCAAGTTTGAGGCTAACCTGGGCCACAAGGACCTTGTCTCAAGAAAACCCAAAATGAACTCAGGTGTGGTGACTTTTGGGAGGCAGAGGCAGAAGAGCCTAAGGCTCTCCTGGCTGACACCGAGCAAGTGCCTGGCTCTGTAGGAGCTGAGTCCACCCTCAGAACACTGCATTCCTAACAGCATTCTTCTCTCCTAGGAGGGCAACAAGCATGGATCTCCCGATGCCCATGCGTTTCCGGCACTTAAAAAAGACTTCTAAGGAGGCGGTTGGTGTCTACAGGTAGGGTTGCGATTTTAGAATTTCAGAAAACTAGTGTTTTTCCAAATACAGTGGACCAAAATACCGAGTGGCCTCTCTCCTTCAGTCATTGAAGTTTTTAGTAGATTTATTGAGTCTGGTGAGCTGTAGCTGTTGGTGTTGATAGGAATTTAACTTTAGACTTCTGCCTCTTGTGAGCTACAGCATGGAGAAATCATTAATGCTTGGTAATTTACCAGTGCAATATAATACACACAAATGAAGTGGGGCCAGACCTCCCGCCCAAGTGTCTGTCTCTACTGGGAAACTAGCAGACTTTTTTCACCTATTCACACAATTAATTAATTTGAAATTTTGCATCTTGGTGTCTGGAGAGATGGCTCAACCATTAAGAACACTAGCTACTCTTGCAGAGGACCTATGTTTGGTTCCCAGCATCCACAGACTGATTCACAACCATTTGTAACTACAGTTCTAGAAAGTCCAGTGCCTTCTTCTGACTACCATAGGCAGCAGGCATGACATGGTACACATATGTACATACAAGCAAGATACTCATACACATAAAATCAATAAATGTAAAAAATTTGAAAGAGGAAATTTGTGTCTGGTTTTTTTGTGTCCATGGCCTAGGTCTCCCATCCACGGCCGGGGTCTTTTCTGTAAGAGAAACATCGATGCAGGTGAGATGGTGATTGAGTACGCTGGCAATGTCATCCGCTCCATCCAAACTGACAAGCGCGAGAAATACTATGACAGCAAGGTGAGTGCCGGGCTCGCTCCCTAGGTTCTCCTTTGCTGTAGAAAGAGGCTGTCAAATCTTAGCATGATTTCACGTACATCTCCATACTTTGTGATGAACCCATAAGTGTTCTAAACCCCTTTGTGGATTAGTAGATAAAGGTGCTCTGTGGATTCCAGGATTTAAAGTCCATGGCTACATAAGTTTTAGGGTCTTACTATATGATAGGAACAGTCTTCCTCTAGTCTAGTGCCTATAATCTAGAAATTCCTCCTCCAAGCATGTTAAAAAAAAAATAGAAACTAGGAGAAAAATGTAGAATTTTAAAAGAAACTGGCTCCTCTGTGGAAACACCAGGAGCAGAATAGGAAATGATCTTCAGCCTGAGCAGCGGCAAGTTCAACCAGAGTGAGCATGCCATACCTACCATCCCAGCACTTGAGCTACGTGGGAAACCTCTCGCCTCAGGTTCAAGGCCAGCCTGGGCTACATAGAGAAGTCCTATCTCAAAATCAAGGTGTTTCAGACGTGATGCCCTAAATTCTGTGGTAGAGGGAAGACCTGTCTGCTGAAAGTTGTCCTCTGACTGCCACCCATGTCCCATAGTGCTTGAAAGAAAGAGTAAGTTCAGGGCTGGAAATGTGAAGTAGTAGAGTGCTTTACTACTTAGCATGTGCAAGACTTTGGGTTTGGTTCAATAAATTAATAATAAATAGTTCTTTTTCCTACATGTGTAGGGCATTGGTTGCTACATGTTCCGAATTGATGACTCAGAGGTAGTGGATGCCACCATGCATGGAAATGCTGCCCGCTTCATCAATCACTCATGTGAGCCTAACTGCTACTCCCGGGTCATCAATATCGATGGGCAGAAGCACATTGTCATCTTCGCCATGCGCAAGATCTACCGAGGGGAGGAGCTCACCTATGACTACAAGTTCCCCATTGAGGATGCCAGCAACAAGCTACCTTGCAACTGTGGCGCCAAGAAATGCCGGAAATTCCTGAACTAAAGCTGCTCACCTTCCTGTGATGGAGTACCAGGACCCAGGGCCACCCAAAGCCATGCTGAAGGACTTCTCAGCAGCCAGGAGCTCCAGGATTGAGCGGGCAGTTGAGGGTCCTCTGGCTGAGCACCCTAAAGTCCCACATTCACATCATGTGATCATAGTCTTGGAAAGAGGGGTCTCAAGGAAAAAACCATGGTTGGCTTTCTCATGGGGCCTTTCTGATTGTTTGTTGGAAACATGGGTAACAGGCTCCTGGGAGATTTCCCTGGAGGAGCATGTAGAGGGTGACTCCCAGTGGAGATGGGATCTGAGCATGTCCTCAGAGCAGTTTGTCGTTTTCACCTCAGCCCTCTCCCAAGCCCTATAAGCGATGGGTCAGACAAGAACCCAGATTCAGGGCTGGTGGGATGCCTGGCAGTGTGCCAGTCAGGCCTGGCCCGTGGCCATCTGTTCAACAAACAGAAGGTCTGGTGGTTTTCCCTACTTAAGAGTTTGCTTTGATTGGGAGACAGGTTTCCTAGCACCTCTGGTGTCAAAAGGCTGTCTTGGGGTTGTGCCAATTAATTACCAAACATTGAGCCTGTGGCTGTAAGTGGGAGTGTTACCCTGTGAGCCTTACCACAGCCAGTGACCTTTCTTGACAATAGAGCGGCTCCCTCTCTATCCCTTCTCTTCACGCCTTCCCCCTCCTCCATCCTTCATCTGCTGCTTCCCATTCTTCTTTCTGGGTGGCAGGGCTTGTCTCCCTGCTCAAGGACACTCCCTAATGGGTATAGGAAGTGCCTACAGAAAGTCCCCTGAGCCTGTAAGCACTCCAGGTGGGGAAGTGGACAGGAGCCATTGGCCATAACCAGACAGAATTTGGAGATCTCATAAAGCTCCACTGAGAGTTTTAAAGAGATATATGTAGCAAGATTTTTTTACAACAAGCTAAAGATGATTTCAGTAGGATTTGAGTCCCGCAACAGCCAGGGTACAATAACCAGGATAAGCCCCAGCCCTTTCTAGGACATGCTTGCTTTCTTTTCCCTTTCTTAAAAGACATAGGAAGATGAGTTTCTAAACGGTCAGTGTCCAGCTGAAAGAACACTAATCAGATTTCAAGGCCCCAGACTTGGGGCTAGACCACATGTGCTGGGGGGCCTCTGCCAGCTGCCTGCAGTCCGGCTGGCTGAGCAAACTTAATGACACTACTGCCTGGTTACTTCTTAGGATGTGGACAAACAGCAACAAATGTTTCTTTCTTCCCCCAAGATAGTGTCTTGAACCTGTTAAATTAAGTCATTGGATTTTACTCTGTTCTGTTTACAGTTTACTATTTAAGGTTTTATAAATGTAAATATATTTTGTATATTTTTCTATGCGAAGCACTTCATAGGGAGAAGCACTTATGACAAGGCTATTTTTTAAACCGTGGTATTATCCTAATTTAAAAGAAGATCGGTTTTTAATGATTTTTTTATTTTCATAGGATGAAGTTAGAGAAAATATTCAGCTGTCCACACAAAGTCTGGTTTTCCTGCCCAGCTTCCCCCTGGAAGGTGTATTTTTTGTTGTTCCATGTATAGCTTGTTTGTGCCCATTGACATAAATGTTCCCTGGGTCTGCTCTTTCCGGTAATGGAGAAAGAAAGTCACCGCTCCGTTAGGCACTGCCCTCCGTTGCCGAGGAAGCTCCCAGAGGCACAGCAGTCTCTCCTGCACTGCCCCCTCCCTCTAGATCAGCTCCAGAGGGCCGAGCAGCGCATTCCACTTCCCGCACCTTTCTCTTTCAGAGTTAGCAGCCATCAAGTTGGCAACCTGACCTTTGCCATCACTGTCTGCCTCATAGATCATCTCCTTTCCTTCTTGTCTGTCCGCCAAGTCCTTGTTCCTACAAAGAACCCACTGACCACCTCGTGCCCTCTTTGGGGGCAGCCTGTTGAAACTGAAGCACAGTCTGACCACTCGCGATCAAGCAGATCTCTGCACCTGACACAAGGTTTCAGGGTAGTGTAGTCCAAGTAGAGGGTGGGGCGTCCTCTTCTCCTATGGAAGTCAGCAAAGCAATATGATGCAGCCCAGCTCTCTGCCCAGGACTCATGGCTCTGCTGTGCCTTCCATCCTGGGCTCCCTTTTCTTCCATGACCTTAAGAACTTTGTCTGGTGGCTTTGCTGGAACTTTGTCACTGTTTCCACTGTCATGTGGGAAGCCCAGCACTGTGGCCAGGATGGCAGAGACTTCCTTGTCATCGTGGAGAAGTGCCAGCAGGGGACTGGGGAAAAGCTCTCTACCCAGACCTCACCTCCCACCCTCCTTTGCCCTTGAACAAGATGCAGTGGCCCGAGGGGTTCCACTAGTGTCTGGTTTCCTTTCTTATTGCACTGTGTGAGGTTTTTTTGTAAATCCTTGTATTCCTATTTTTTTTAATGAGAAAAATTGAAGCTGCATTTGTTACTGAAACGATTAATGCACTGATGGGTCATGCATTCACCTTGAGAGAGACCCAAAGGCCAGTCAGAGGGTGGGGGAAACTCAGCTAACAGACCTAGTTACTGCCCTGCTAGGCCATGCTGTACTGTGAGCCCCCTCCTCATCCTCTTTCTACAACCCTAATCCCTGAGGACGGGAGGAACCCACCTTCCCTCCTCCTGCCAGCTGCAGATGGTTTGCCTTGCTTCCCACCCACTGTCAACCACAGAAATCCCTCTTTCAGCTCAGCCTTGAGTCCATTGCCAAAATTCAGCATACCTGCCAGCAACTTGGGGGATAAGCCAGAGCGCCCCCACAAGAGGGAAAGAGGGTAACCAAACAAAAGGCACAGCTGTCTCCAAAATATGTCTGACTTCATTTTGAAAGTGACCAAGCGAACCTCTGCACAAAAGTGCAGTTTGAGGACTTGCGTGGTGGGTCATTCCCAAGAATCCCCTAAGGGGCGGTCCACACCCCTAGGAATGACAGCTGCAAACCTCGTGGGTTCTCAGAGCCAGCTCTCAGACGGCTTTGCTGCTAGAACCTGTTGTGGCTGCATTTCCTGGTGGCCAGTGACAACTGTGTAACCAGAATAGCTGCATGGCGCTGACCCTTTGGCCGGAACTTGGTCCCTGGGCTCCTTCATTGTTAACCACCATGTCCAGCACAACCCCTTCCTTGTTTTTAGACCAATCACAATTAAGGGGGAAGCCCTGGTACCTCTTAGGTTTCAACCCAAACTCCTTTGCCAGGACCCAGCTCACCTCTGTCAATCCCCCGGCCAATCCAATGAGCACCATGCAGCAACCTTGACATTTAAAAAAAAAAAAAGAAAAAAAAAAGAAAAAAACTTAAAAAAAACTAAAAATTAAAAAAAGACAAAACACATATAAAAAATATTTTAATGAATGTATCTTTCTAAAGGACTGACGCTCAATCAAATACCTGAAAATACTAAAGGTCAGAGCCTCATCAGATGTTCACTGTTTTTGGATTTGGGATTCCTTTTCATAAAAACCAAGTTGTTGTTTTTTTGTTTGTTTGTTTTTAAGGAAAAGCGGGTCATTGCAAAGGGCTGGGTGTAATTTTACTTTCCTTTCCTTCATTTTAAAGCAATACAAAGTTATTGAGCAGATAGTTTTGTGCCGAATCATGAAAAATCATGAACACCAGTCAAGTCTCTCACTCTGAAAACTTGCAACCTTTTTGTTTGTTCGTTTGTTTTGGTTTTCAAATAAATATAAATATATATATATATATAGGAACTAATATAGGAATGCACCATTGTAACAGCCTAGTTCAGTCCATGGCTTTTACTTCTCTTAACACTATAGATAAGAATTGTGTTGCAGTTACTAGTCGAGGCAGGAAAACATCAGGCTCCTGGGGCCTACGCAGGAATCCCGAACCACAAAGGGATGACAGGCACCCGTCCCCAAGATCAGAGTACAATGCAGAGTGGTGTTACCTGGGCCCTTCCTGCCTGTGAACGTTGCCAGTTGGTACCTGTACTCCTCGTTTCTCTACTTTTGGTTATGAATGTTGGGGTTTCCACCTGCATTTAGGGGAAAATTGTGTTCTGTGCTTTCTGGTATCTTGTTCTGAGGTACACTAGTTCTGTCTTTCAACCAAGAAAATAGATTTGTGGTGTTCTTTTCTTGACCTTACAGTCTCCTTAGCAAATACAGGCGGTTGAATAATTGTTTCAAGAGCTGAACAATGACAAGCTTCGTTTCTAGACTAAGACATTTCTCAACAACTGTATCATGTACAATGGATCTTTTGGGGTTGTTTTGTTTTGTTTTTCCCTTTTTTTCCTTGTGTTCTTCCAAGCTTCTGGTTAGAGAAAAAGCGGGGGTGGGGGAGGAAAATGTGTCTAAAGTCCATCAGTGTTAACTCCCTGAGACAGGGACGAAGGAAAATACTTTAATAGTTCAAAAAATAATAATGCTGAAAGCTCTCTACGAAAGACTGAATGTAAAAGTAAAAAGTGTACATAGTTGTAAAAACAAAAAAGGAGTTTTTAAACATGTTTATTTTCTATGCACTTTTTTTTATTTAAGTGATAGTTTAATTAATAAACATGTCAAGTTTATTGCTGCACTCAGCTTCCTTTTGGCCTTGGTGGGAGGTGGGGAAGAGAGGGGCATGTGACTGGGTTACTGAGTGCCCAGACCTCCCTTCTTTAAGATGGTTCCCTTACCTGGGGTGTCCTTCACTGAGTGGTGATGTGTATCTGTGACCTCACAGGTTCTGGATGAAAGGGCTTCGTTTCTGTCTACCTATATCCTCTAATGGGAGGCTAGTGGTTTCTAAACCCAACTATAATAAAATAAAAGCATTTGGTCCGGTCTGTGCTCCACTCCACCTTAAGGCTGAAACAGGGTTTGTTTATTCTGTGTTAAGGTTCAGTTGGGAAATACTGTAAAACCACCAGACCAGGTCACTAACCCTAGCCATGGAGGCTGAACCAAGGGCTGGAAGACACCCCTTCTGATTTGGCAGCTGTGCCAGAGCAGAGCCTCCTCCATTCACAACTGCCCCTACAAGCCCTACCCTGTTCCCACCATCCCCCCCTGTATCCTGAGTTACCTTTGGAGACCTTGGAGCTGAGCACCATGGGGACTCCAAATGACCAGGCGGTGCTGCAGGCCATCTTCAATCCCGACACCCCATTTGGAGACGTCATTGACTTGGACCTGGAAGAAGCAAAGAAAGAAGACGATGAAGGTAAACCTTTGACCTTGGCATCGTCTGCCTCCCTGTCGACTGACTAGCAGGCCCCTGAAGTTCCCTAAGAGTGTGGTGAGGCAGGACCCCTCAATTCCCCCTCGCAGGTTATGGTAGGGGTTGGAACCAGGGAGGTCCTCTGAACTTCAGTGCGTAGGGTTGCAGAAATGACTGTCAAGAGAAGGCCAGAGTCCATCTCTCATCATTCAGCCTCACCACTAAACCTACCACTAATCTTCCCATGATCCAAGTTTAACTGTGCTGCTGAAGTCAAGCTCTCAAGTCTTTGACATAGGGGATGTTACATGCCCTCCCCCCACAACAGGGATGGAAGACAAACAGGACGGGATGGTGGCTCAGTTGACACCCTGACATGACATCAGAGCTTCCTTTGTTAACCACTATTACAAGCCAGGCCCTGAGCTAGGTAGCTGCTGCCCCCAAGGGAACAGCATGATCCATTGCCTAATAAGAAAGATGTTTGGAGCTTTGCTTCTGCCCAAGTGAAGCCTGAGCCTTACTGAAGCTTCAGACTGAAAACCTGAAGGACAGATCTGGAGTGATTTTCACAACCTGGGATTGTTACAGTGGTCTGTGTCAGAGGCAGTGTGTAAAGCAAAATGAGGACGAGCCAAAGACAAGGGTTCAAATCTAAGCTCCACAACCTGGGACTGTGGTCCACTAGAACACGCCACCAATGAACGAGTTGTTGAGCCTCTCTCCACCAAGATGAGCCATCCAGTATTCCTTTCAGGTCTCTTAGCCAGTGCTAGTTCCCAGTTTTTGTGACCTCAGCTACTCCTATCCCTGACTCTGCAAGTCATCTCTGCTGTGATCCACACACACCCAGTCAGCTCTGGTTCAGGCGTCTGTCTCATAATGTCGAAGCCCACAGTGGCTTTTTTTTTTTTTTTAATTTTCTTCCCTACCATGCACGTCCCCACCTTATTTCTTCCCTGGTACAGATGCTGTTTTCCCTCAAGCACAGTTGGAGCAGTCCAAGGCCCTGGAGTTGCAGGGAGTCAGGGCAGCAGAGGCTGGGGACCTCCACACAGCCCTGGAGAAGTTTGGCCAAGCTATATGCCTGCTCCCTGAGAGAGCCTCTGCCTACAACAACCGGGCTCAAGCCCGGCGACTCCAGGGGGATGTAGCAGGTGAGGAGGGGAAGACACCAGAGATCCTCCACAGAAAGAACCCCTTCCGTGAAGGCCAGAGATGAGTTGGCTGTGGGCTGGGTTTAGTAACACAGATGCTAAACTCCCTGACGCCCATGTTCTTATAAAATCCAAGACGGTATGGAGTCGGCTAACTTCATGAGACTGTTATGAAAACCAAGAGGCTGCATTCTGTTCGTGGATTTAAGGAACATTAATAAGAGCCTTGTGGGCAGTGGGTAGGCAAGAGGAGGGCACGGGTAGAAACCGTTTGTTTAGCAGTTACTGCGGACCAGGCAGGATGCAATCAGCTGGCCTGTAGTCGTCCTCATGGCCACCCTAAAAGGTGTGTGTTGTTATTCCACTGCAGAGACAAGAAAGGGAAGCTTACAGAGATATAGATAGACGGCTTCCCCACCCTCCTCCAGCTGAGGAGTGGCTGACCTTGGATATCAAATAGGTGGTGGGGCTCTAAATCCCGTGGTACTGCTCCCTAGGGAGCTCATAACTAGGTTACCAGCAGGCAAATCAGAGAGAAAGCAGCATGGGACCTCTTCTCGAAGGGTAAATCCTGAAAGATGAGGAATTAGTTGATACAGTCTCTAGGAGCCTAGAAAGCATGCCTAGGTCCTAGGGCCTCAGAACTCCAGACTGGCTGGAGCGGGCCCCATGGAAGGATGGAAAGCCAAGCATTGCTGAGGTGTGCAGAGACTCAACGGTGACAAACTACCAGTGTCAGACTGAGAAGGTGATTGTCGCTCAAGGATGTCGTGTGGACAGAGAAAGCAACTGGATGAAACCCGATGTATTCGGGTGACTGTGACTAGAATGGGGACCATGGGACAGAGAGGAATAGTACCAGGGACTGGGCCAGATGGGAGTGGAAGTGTACGCCAGAGACCTGGTAGAGAACCAGCTCATATAGAGGACTAGTTGGTGGGGGTGTTCCCCGAGCTTAAACTAGAAAATTTGGACTCCACTCTAATGGCTGTAGGAGATACCCACAGAGCTCCTTTTGCAGGCTTGTCTGCCATAGGTTGTTGGTGACAGCCTGCAGGTGGAAAGCAGGGAGGTAGGTGACCCCACCTGTAGAGACTTGGATACCGGCAGCCGAGAGGAAACTGAGCAATGTCTGGGCCCAGAGCTGCTCAGTTTGCAGTTTGGATGGGGTAGGGAACCAGAACCGGAACCAGAACCCCTGACGGTGGAAGCTCAACCTTTCTCCATGATGGTGCTGAGCAACACCAGGGTCCTGGTAGCCGCTTTAGGAGACTAGAAAATATGGATTGAAGCAGGGTCCAAAGAAAACAGCTGGTGGACTTTACAAAAGCCCTAAGCTGGCTGCCTGGGGTTCTGAGTTCTGACACTCAACCCAAGTATGTTCCTCTGAGAATCACAAAAATAAAACAGGGCAGCCAGCTCTGGCTCCACAACCTCCTTCCAGTGAAATCAGATACAGGGCAATGAAGAACATGCAGGAGGAAATGAGAAGAGGGCTGCTTTCATAGTCTGCACTAGAAAAGACGGGGAAAGGTGAAGAGACTGGCGTTACAGCAGGAAATAGTTGTATAGGCAATGATCTAATTTTTGAACTCTAGGATTCAGAGTGGGTCACCATACACACAGTAGATGCTTAGCCACTGTGGTGTGAGCTATAGCCATTTGACAGTTGGCAGATTCCCTAATACAATGACCAAATCCTCTCGGCAACTTTCACGTTTGGATCCATCAGTGGTAGAACATACTAGGAACAAGGCCGGGGCGAGCCATGGACTTTAATCTCAGCTTTGCATTTGGGTAGTCCCCCAAAACAGTTTTATCAACCTTTCATCTCCGTATTAGGAGTAACAATCCTTCTTGGCTCAAAAGTCTGCTACACGAAGGCGAGTTGTGAATGGCGGGGTTGGGCTGTTCGGCGGGTTGGCTGGGGCTCGGATGCCGCACTTCGCTGACCCGCGCCATCTCCCCGTCGACCCGCAGGTGCCCTGGAGGACTTGGAGCGTGCAGTGACGCTGAGCGGCGGTCGGGGTCGCGCCGCCCGCCAGAGCTTCGTGCAGCGCGGGCTCTTGGCTCGTTTGCAGGGCCGGGACGACGACGCCCGCAGGGACTTCGAGCAGGCCGCGCGATTGGGCAGCCAGTTCGCGCGGCGCCAGCTGGTACTGCTCAACCCGTACGCCGCGCTGTGCAACCGCATGCTGGCCGACATGATAGGGCAGCTGCGCGCGCCCAGCAATGGGCGCTGAGCGTGGCCGCGGGATGATGGAGAAGGGAACCCAGACCCAACCAAGACCCAATAAAACTTCCTGGACTGCCGACTGCGTCTGCTTTGCGTCCGCCCACTCACCAACCAGCCTCAGGGTGGGGACCGCGGCGTGGGCGGGACTGGAGTGGCCACCTGCGCGTACTCGGGCAGCGATTGGTCCTGCCTGGCGTGGGCTCCGCCCTTGCAGCGGACTGCGGCGCTCCCCAGACTTAAGCAATTGCTGGGGCGCTGCTCCGGGAGGGAGCCTGGTGAGCCCTTCGCTCCGAAGCCAGGGATGCTCCGGCGACCCCCGGCTCTGAGATGCTCTCGGCCCAAGTCCACCTGAGCGCCGAGATTGGGAAAGGGGTGCATGGCGAAAGATGGGAGGGAGAGCCAGTCCTGAAGGGGACCGGGTCAGGAGAAGGACGATCCCCTGGGGCAAACGGGAAGGGCGCATGTGGACCGACCCTGTGTGTGTGTTTATGTGTGTGTGTGTCTGTCCGTCTGTCTGTCTGTATCTTTGTGTGATTGTCTGTGGTCAACTACTGTCTGTGCCGGCAGAGTGGCTCTTCCTTTGGGTCTTGTTGACTGTGTGCCTGTTTGTGCCCGCGTGTTGGCCACTGAGGGCCAGTCTACACCAGTGCATGGCAAATTCTTGCAGGAATTGCTAGGTCTACCTGGCTGGGACCGAGACTATACCCTTTTCTCGGCAGCCTGGAGGCCTATCCCTGACCACCATGGAGTTGCCTCTGAGCCAAGCTACCCTTCGGCACACACTACTGCTCCTGCCAGCCCTCTTAAGTTCAGGTACTGTTCATCCTTTTGACCAAACATTTAAGAGACCAGAGCCTCCTCTTTGCCCTGTTCACCGGTATCTCCTCTCAAGATACCCACTCCAGGCTAAAGCTGGGTTCTCCTATCCCCACTTCTCTACCATAAGTAAAATAAGCCCCTGGTGAGAGAAACCAGCTTGCCTGTCTCTTGGCCTGCTGCCCCTCGGTAACAGGACTTAACCCGGGCCTGTCTAAGCCCCTCCCAGAGGCTACCTGCTGTGTTCCAGGACAGGGGGAGCTAGCACCACAAATTGACGGTCAGACCTGGGCTGAGAGAGCACTTCGGGAGAATGAGCGCCATGCCTTCACCTGTCGGGTGGCAGGGGCATCTGCCACTCCCCGATTAGCCTGGTACTTGGATGGTCAGCTACAGGAGGCCACCA